GTGGATACTTGACATCTCCAATATATGGAAACACCATGCAAAGGTACGAACAACAGACATTCACAACATTGTTTTGTACGCTAAAATCTGATTTCATGGACATAAAACGTTTTGAATAATTTTAAGACTTTTTAATATTAGTGCTTTGCCCTCCCTTTGACAACTTCACGTGACTGGTGCACTTGGCAGGAGTTGACAGCTGAAATCTGCCTTTCTTGATAGCAAACGGCATTAATTTATATCAGGTCGCTGTATAAACACGTCTTGGTTTCTGAAAGCTGATAACATGAAACCACTGTTGCTCAAACTGATTTCTTATTGTATTTTTCCGAGTTTTTAGCATCGGCCCGCCGAGTCTGGAAAGCTCAAATTTCAGAAAAGTACTACTTGTATTTTTTGGCCTCAAAAATTTTCTTTTAAGTTTCCCATAGTTTTGAAAACAGATTTTGAAAGAAGAGATAACGCTCTTTAACGTGGTATAAGACTCGTTACTGAAATCGAGGTACCAGTCGACGATTTTGGGCTTTCAAATTTGCCATTTTTTCATTGAACGAAAACGTTCAAAATATTGAAAATAATGAAAAATCTCCAAAATATTACATTTTCGTTCAAACTGAGTAAATCACCACTTAAAATGTGTGCAATTATGTACTCTTCTGAATAAGTTATTTGTCGTCCTCAGTAAAATGGATTTGAATTTTAAAACGATTTTTTTGTGACACATGGTCTCGGTTTTGGAAAACCCGGTCCGAGAGCCGCGAAACCAATAACCCCCCCGTACGTGGAAAATAATTATCGGATCGAAGTAAAAATTACATTTATGTTAATAGCTTACCCAGTGCTACCTTGTGAATTGTTTTGACAATTTTCGATTATTCACTTTTGTAGACCTCTGGACGATATTTACTGACATCTGCTCTTAAACACTTGGGACTGTGCAATAATTATCAAGAGGGGGGGCTGAAAAACTGAAGGGGGGCATTACATAAAATTGCTGCCAAGATAGGGGGCTCAAAGTAAAATCACTCATTTGACGGAGGGGGGGCCTTAAGTTTTATTGGGCGATTCCAGAAAATATCCATACCATACCACGGACGGCTTTAAGGATTTCCGAAGGGGAGGGGGGATTCACGATTATGGAATTCTGAAGGCATGGGGGGGTATTTACGAATTGAAATCCGAAGGTATGGGGGAATTCCACAGGTGGGATTTCTGGAGTAGAAAGTGTAGAGTAAGTTCCTGGAAAACGCTATTGTTGTGGACTTTTGTAGTTCGTAAATAAACCACGAACGTATGACCGCGGAAGCAGAAGACAAGCATCGATAGATCAGACACGTGTTTACGCTCATAACTTATAGAAGTGAACAGTAAAACGTTGGTTTCACATTTACCTTGATGAATTTCTTGTCACGTGAATAAAAACTGAAAATGTATCTTTTAATACCGCTTGCAAATTTCTTGTTACTCCCGTCCGAAACCGTCCGATAAACAGTAAAAAACTCGCACCAGTCCCTCACTTCCAAGGAACGCCTGTCAGATTAGAACGCTTTTCGTGCGCACTACATGACGTATAAAAGGACGCAACACGACTCGACGGTATATTTGACCGCCAAAAGATTTTAACAGTCTGTTTGAGCTATTTTCCTTTGTAAACGTCAAAACAGCACAAGAAAACAAAGAGGAGTAAAATTACCTTAAGTGGTGTTTATTTTTATAGCCAAATTCGGACTTAAAAAGGAGTTTGCACGGCCTGGCAACTAGCGTAGGTTTTTCTTGTCACTGAAGAGTAAAGCTTGTCACCTGGCGCCGCTAGATCACAGCCTTGAGGAGGCATAAATTCATGTTCGTTTGTTCTTATAGGCGTTGCTAAGTCGAAAATGTACTTCCAAAAAAAACCGGAAATTCTGAAGGGGAGGGGGGGTTCACGACTATGGAATTCTGAGGGCATGGGGGGGTAGCGCATTTTGGAATTTCCGAAGGCAAGGGGGGGTTAAAACATGGAAGCCGTCCGTGGTTGGGTATGGATATTTTCTGGAATTGCCCATTCGAAATGTAAATAAAATTAAACGCAATAAAAGATTCTCAATACAGGCATCATGATAGACTGTAACAAATATCAACCCGAACAGCTGTTAAACGATTATCGAAAATATTCCATCAAAATGAAAAGCAAGTTCACAACTGATCAATTTTAACCCGTCTAAATAATTGAGCTGATCCTATGTAAAGTAAAAATCATGAACTTGTTTTTCAGCTTCCCCCACAAAACAATGGGAATCAAACAGATCTCGTAGACAAGCTTTGTCGGTTTTTGATGTCAATAAAAGTAATGTTTCTTCATCGACTGAATTCCATATATATGTGGCTCATAACAAAGTTCAACAGCCTCTCCTCCCAAGGATCTAAATATAATGCAAGCTCTTTTTCGTCTGTTATTTGAAGCGTTCAATCTCCTGTTCTTTGATTTTTTTTCTGTGCTCCTTTCTCTTTCTGGCTTCAGAAGTTTTAGATTTTGAGCCAATGTGGTAAGCACCCCAGTACTTAGCAAATGCTTTGTCTAAATCTTCAATCAAGCGATCAACATCCTTCTCGATACTAGATGTTACATAATAACGTTTGTCATTATTGAAGCAGTGATGGCAGCTCAGTTTACCAGTGTGGTGGGAGGGGGGGGGTGCGACGTTATTTTTTTGGTTTTGGAGGAGGGGTACTGTCTAAGTTTTTGCTAGATAACTCTAGTTTTTCGGCGCCCCCTCCTGATAATTATTGCACAGTCCCTTATTGAACTGGCATCAAGTCTTACACAGTAAGCTTATGTATAATATTTTTAAAATAATAAACGAACTTTTTGATTCTTCAGTGGTCATTGATGTCCGCCAAGGCATTTCGATGAAACTGTAAGTGAGAATAATGCAACATTACACACTGATTCTTTACCAACTAACTCAATTCCCGGCCACATCCCCAACAACCCTTACCCCTCCCCCTTCCCGCTCCCCTGAATTGAAATGATTCACCCACTACATTTGATGGCTCAGTAAAATACTATAGGACTTTTGTGAGTTTCAAAATATATATTGTTGCTTTCAAAACGAGGCTAAGTGAAAAAAGTATTAACGAATACCAAAAAAAAAATTTATATCAATGGCTTCACACTTAGCCTGGCTGTAAAACTAATGGAGCAACTTTGAAATTATCTATCTCATGTTTGCCCAATTTTTTGCAAGTTTCACAAGAATCGCAGGTTTTGTCGAGGCCCTCTCAACCTCCTCTTTCACTGCTTTACACTCTTCAGCAAATTTCTGAATTTTGCTGAAATTTTCCAATTTTTTTCTAATTGCAGTTTTCACAAAAATCACAGATTTAGTTGAGGTCTTCCTTACCTCCCCATTTACTGCTTTTAATTCACTATTCAAATTTTTTGTAATTTTTGCAACTGCATGTGTTGCAGTTAATTTTTTATTTCAGTTAATTTTTGTTTTTCCATTGTTTTTGGGTATGGTAATGTATGCTAATGAATTTGAAACAAAGGAAAAACAAAAATTAACTGAAATAAAAAATAAACTGCAACACATGCAAACCTGGACATATCTCTGTATTCTTGTTGTTTATACCCCAATGAAACAAAAACCCAAAAAAGTAGGCAATAAGTTAGGCAAGTTTACCTTTTTTTTATTATATTATTGTGTTTCACTTGATTCATTGGCAAGGCAGTGTCTATGGAGTCTACCTGGTGAAGTGCTCCTCAAATCGTTACCTCAGAATGCCAAGCCTGTGCACATGAGTCCAACAGGACCCTTTTGTTTAAAAGGTGGATACACAACCACTATTCCCTGGATTAACTACAGCACTGACAGCTGAGAGTCATGTTATTATTATGTGACAAGAGGCTAGGGCAGTATGATTAATATGTTACTATATAGCAAGGACTTATATTCCCCTTCTCTTCATCAGTCATGGCTGCTTCATCTGATTAGCCTGAGGTCATGAAAGCAACAAGTCTGGACAATTCACAGGTTCATTCTTTTTTATTTCTTGTTACTAAAAGTTATACTTTATTCATGAATGTTATACTATGTCTATGCTGTTGACATTTCAGCTGGCATTTGTTGACTGACGTGGCTGTCATGTTTACTAATATTAACCATTATTTCAAATGAGGCTTGGTCAACATGTTGACTTGACAGTCGTCGGCCAATATGTTGACGTATATATATATATATATATGGGTGCTTTTAGTTCACAAGATCCAAGAAATTTATGGTTATGCTTAATGTTTGTATAGTGAATAACTTTGATTTACCTCTATGATCACGTATGTATACACCTAATTGAAGTTTGCATCATTGTATTTAAAAAAAAAACGAAAGTGACAAATATATGCCAAAATATATCCACTTCATAACTTGTTTCATGCCTGATAGACCTTTACATTATGAAGGACTTTCTCATATTTTGAAACTCTAAAACAAAACTCTTCCTCTAAAATATACTGATTGTAAGCAGTTAATTTATCAAAACACATGTCACTGTTTTAAGAATAATACTGAAATCTGGAAGAAATAACATTGATATGCCTAATTTATTCCTATTTAAATGAAATTTTCTAGACGTTGTTTGGGGGTCTTTGGGTGAGGGAGTGAAAAAAAAAATTGGCTATTCTACCCCTACATTGTACTTGTATCAACTTACATATATAGTCGATGAAAGCAAATTTTTGTATAGATAATTGCTATTACTTTGTTTTCTTTCATTTTTATTAGTTATTATTTTTATTATTAATTATTTTCTTATTAGTTTTAATTACGTGACCTGGTATCAGTGTGAAGAATCAGATTAAACAATTATAATAATTTTTTATTGTAAAAGACTGATAAGGAAGCAAATTAAGTGGGCATGGTTCTTGAACACAAGTACCAGCAGTTTACATTTATGTTCTTACTGTTATTTATTGTCATATTTGTTCTTTGTAGGCTTGCTATGGTGACACCAGTGTTCCAGTGTTACATGTTACTCTTCTTGGTGGTGAGTGGGGTTCATCTGCTGGTGGGTTATCAACCATAAACAGAGAGCTTGCTATTCAACTTTCAAATCATTCAGCGGTGAAGATTTCTTTACTAGTCCCAGAGGGAGCTTGCAACACTGAAGAAATAAGAGAAGCTGCAGATGGCTATGGAATCACTATTGTTGAGGCGAAGGAACGTACAGCATATGATCGTCTTGATTGGTTGAGCATCCCACCCCAGGACCACTTCATGGACATCGTTGTTGGCCATGGTGTTAAACTTGGTCGGCAAGTACAATTCATTAGAGATTCTGCCCAATTTTCAAATTGTAAGTGGGTACAAGTGGTTCACACTGCTCCAGAGGACCTTAGCAGATACAAATGTTACCGTGACCCCATTTCAAAAGGTGAAACAAAACACGAATCAGAAGTTGGGCTTTGCAAACTTGCTGATCTTGTTGTGCCTGTGGGGCCCAGACTAAAAGAAGCATACTGTTCATATTTACAGCGATGCAAGACAGATCAAGATGTTTTGTCCATTACTCCAGGCCTTTTTCAAAGGGAGTTTGGGGATTTAGTGGCAAAACAAGAACCTAACGAGGATGGTGAATTTAAAGTGTTGTTGTTTGGTCGTGGGGATGACGAGGACTTTGAACTGAAAGGATACAACATTGCTACTCAAGCATTTACTGATCAACGGTTGAATAACAAATGTTATCATCTAATCTTTGTTGGAGCACCTGAAGGAAAGCAAGAAGAAGTTAGAGAAAAACTTCTGCAGCGTGGTATTATGGAAGCGCAGTTGACTGTTAGAAAATTTATGCAAAGTAGAGAGAGGCTGAAAGATTTGCTTTGCGAAGCTGACATTGCCATAATGCCATCAAAATCAGAGGGATTTGGTCTTGTCGCACTTGAGGCCTTGTCTGCGGGACTACCCATTCTTGTAGGCAGTAGGTCAGGATTTGCCAAAGCATTAGAGAATGTTCTTCATGGTGATGCATGCATCGTGAATTCAGATGATCCTGCAGAATGGGCAAAAGCAATAGAAGCTGTTCGTTTAAAGCATGGAATGAGGCTTCAAGAGATTAAATCACTGAGAGCATCTTATGGAGAGATGTACAGCTGGAAGGAGCAATGTGAAGCCCTTGTGAACAGAATGCGGAGAATGGGTCATGGTAAGAGTTATTTGTTAAGTGCTGATGTAGTATTCATGTTGTACCAGACATCACACTAATATAGTTTTTGTGGCACAATATAATATGCAAATGTAACAGTGCAGTGCACTCACAAGCACTGAATGCATTTTGTTCTTTGATCACATTGTGTAGCCCGTACGAAACTTGCAGCGCTGTACAGCGCTACAAAATCGCTGCAAAATAGCTGTACAGCTAAATTACAGCTGTTCAGCAGCCTTTTAGAAGCCAAACAGCAGCTTTATTCAAGTTGCAGCGGGATGCAAAAGCGCTGTGCAGCCTTTGAAGGCTCTTTGAAGCTCTCGGCAGCGGTTTTGCAGCGCAGTTGCCGACTTTCAAACGCTGCGAAGTAGCTGCAGTAACGCTACAATTCAGCTGCGGTCGATCTGACTTTCTTGAGCGCCAATAACATGAATCGCCAGATAAAGCCTTGGCACAGATTACGGCTTTTATAACGCGATAACTTTGACTGTACCTCTAAGAAATGTGAGTAAGCTTGTGCGCAAAGAAGATCACTTATGGAATAAACCTCCAAATCCTATGCTTTCGGAATAAAGAGTTCAATAAATTTCATTCCGTGACCGGCGAGTGTGGGAATGTTATCGCTAATTCCCTGGAGACATTCTAGGCCGTAATCTAATTGGTCGGTCCTTTTGCATGAGATCCCATTACATCTCTAGACAAACACAGAACATTTGCGACCGTTGAATGAAAGGCGCAAACATTTTAAGTTTTTTTGCGTCTAGTTCTGTTTCGAGATGGAAGTTCTGTTGAAGTTTTTGGATGGAACAGCTCAAACGTACTTGCAAACAACGCACTGAACAGTGACTTCTACGCTAAGTATCGACGAATCGAACCAGAGCAAGCAACACAGATACAAGAATCTCAGATGGGGTTCGCACTTACAAGATTCTTATACGCTCGTGGTAATGTTTGTTCCTTACTCTATTGTAAAATTTAACGACGACCAAAGTAAAATTGGGTTGATTTCTTTCATGAAAAAAGTGTAGAAGATCGTGGATCATGGACGAAACGTCAAGGTGAGCAATGTCCAGCTTAGCCCGTTGCAACGAATCAAAATATCATTTGCCTAATGGCCGTGCATGTAAACTTTATGTAGAACAATCGATGTTATTCTCTTTATTTTTAAAAAAGATAATTTTCAATGTCTGCATGTTAATGGATGTTCTTACATTCAGATGAGTGATCGTGATTGCTAAATATTTACAAAGCGAGACTGTTGCAGATTTGTTCTATGTGACGTGCTTTTGTAACGTGTACGCGTGGATACTAATAAAGTATAAGTTGCATTTTGACTTTCTAGTGGTTTTTACTCTGCTACTAAGCCGGTTTAGGCAAATGCCATAATTCTTTGAATTTTTGTACACTTTTGCAGCTATTTGGCAGCGCTGACAGCGTTTTTGTGTGTCCTTTCCACCGCTGCTAAACCGCTGCTTATCGCTTTCAAACGGCTTCATAGCGCTGCCCCGAACAGCCAAAATTTGCGACTGCTGCAGCCAGCCTCTTTGCAGCTGTTCTGCAGCGCTTCTTGAATCCATTCTGCAGCGCTGCAACAGCGCTGCGCGTTTCGTACGGGAGTGTACATGCAGGTTCTATAAGATTTTCTCTGCAAATTTAGAACACCAACATAATCCCAGAATATTTAACCATTTTATTGATAGCTAGATGAATATGGCCAAGACATATAAAATAATGTACCTGATCAGTCTTTACAATCCTTACCTAGTAGATTCAGTTACTTTCCTAAGAAATCATGCACCTTCAAATCTTTTATGGTGGGAGTTGGGGGGCATGTAGCCATATTTGAACTTCAGTGTTGTTATTTTTAAACTTCCACTGAAGGAAAACATACAAAGACAGTCAGTTTTGTGTTGGGAAGTGACAAACATGCAAATGAAATTGGCTACTTGAAATTTTGATATGACTACTTTCCTTTATAATAATGTAGTTCAAAGCTTGATAGAGCTGACTGTATAATCATGTAGGATTTACCACCGTTTTCGTTGATACACGACTTTCGAAAACAAAACACCCGCGGAAACGAAATCCACCAATCACAACCACTAGTGTGACCTTCTGACCTTCTTTACGTCATGCTAGCGGGCTGTGATTGGTGGATTTCGATCCGATCTGTCGATAACATGCATGATTGACGGAAATTTTGGAAACGTTTCCGCGGGTGTTTTGTTTTCGAAAGTCGCGTATCAACGAAAACGGTGGTAATACCCTTTTGAAATGTAATCTTAAAATGGATCTATAGTACTTTAAAAAGTTATGGTGTTTTTACCATCGAATTTACTCTGAATTCCTTAATTTTTTCCTCTTGAGCTTAAATGTTTTGTGCACACCTTTTAAAGTGCTACTACGATCAAAATTTAATGACAAGTTTGTTACAGAAACGCTTTCTTTTCAGCTTATCAGAAGTGGTTGTACCTGTTTCGGTCATTGAGGTGAACTTTGGCGCCCTCTAAGTGAAAACATTGAGCTTGAAAATGTAGGTTTTTCGCGTCCGCCATTACAAATTTATGTTCCAGTGACAAAGTTATTGTTCTCTGATTGTGACGTCATTTTCTGAACGCGCCAAGAAAACAAACCTGAACCGTGAGAAAACAGCGAGCGATTCTCAAAGCTTCGCTCGTCTTCGCCCGATTCTGGAATTGTGAAGGAGGAAATCATAGATTACGATGACCCTGTAGAACCAGCACCGACTGAATATGAGACAGTCAAATACTAAGGGCAGCTAGCCTCAGAGAAGGAAAAAAAACACACTTCACCAAGTCGTATTTTATGCAGTTTGTGCCGACGGAGATTCGGATTACTGGTAGGTGTATTTGTATACGTACTAGCTATAATAATAATACACAGGCAAGACGATCGAGAGTCCGCACCAATTTCACCTGCCTTCTAGCCACTCTCGAGTGCTCATTTATCCAAGTGTAGATAAAGTTTTGCTTTATAGCTCTTCAGGCACAGCGAATCAGAGTGGGTACAGTTTTCTGTTCAGCTAAGTTTCAGTTCTAAAGCAGCCAGCTCGTTGTCATATGCATGTGTTTTTTTTACCATCTTAAACGGACTGCTGTCCTTTATTATTGAAAATTTAATTGTTACTTTAGTGTTACGTATCTGAGCTGAGGATTTTAGATCTAATGTTAAGTTCTCTTTGTCAGAAAAGTTAATTTACTCATTTTCAATATAAATAGATAAATAAGGGGATCGCTCGCTCTTGACTTGGTGTATCAATTTAATAATTTTCAGTGCTGACATTAAACACTGTCACACTCTTTGTAGCTCATGTTTTTTTGAAAAGGCTGTGTCTGCCTTATAATGCCTTCACTATCGATTGACTGCAGATCATTAATGCAAGTTATAAATTGCAACGCTAATAAAAATTCAGAGATTTCACCTCATCCAACTATTGTCAATGATATCCCCTTGTATAATTCCCATAACTTTTTGGATAACTTTATGAAATTGTTGTATGTGACGTTTTTTTGAATTTATTTATTATTCAAACCCAGGTGTGCATTTTTTGGATGCTAGCTACTGAGACCAGCTTTGAAGCTTTGGCTAGACAAGAAAATATATACAGTGGAAAGGTTAATACAGACATGTTATGATGTCTATATTATCTGGGTGTCCATGTTAAGTTAGCTCTCTGGAAAAAAGTGACAGACACGTGATTTATTTTATATATAGCATAAAGGAACAAGGAGGAAGAAGGGTAGGAACAATGACTGTAGAAAAAAGTCAAGGACGTGAAACTTGTTGAGCAGGAGGCAGAAAATTTATCAAAGGACTACAAACAGGGGAAGAAAGAAAGATGTATCAAAGTCAAATGTGTCATGCTATTTGGCTGCAGATGTTTTGGTAATAAAATCTTATTAACCCGTGAACTTGGTGCAATGTCTACAATTGGCACATCATTGTGACAAGAAAAATAGAAAGTGCCTGGGTAACCAGTGTCTCTAAAGCTGGATTAAGAATATACAGGAATTTTTGACTTGAAACACAGAAAAGTGGTCATTGTCCACATTAACTACTGTGGGTACTAAGCCGGTTAATTTTAAAGAAAAAATGTATGCTTTTCCTCAGGACGAACAAAACTGCCTGTTATATATGGGTGTCCAATTAAGTGGGTGTCTGTAGATCATAGAGTACTGGGTTATCACTGCATTAATAAATTATTATTATTTTGCAACTAACTTTATGTATTGAAAAACTAAATGGTACATCGGATCACTAGGTTGCACGATTCTGCTGATAACACAGTGTGCCATAAATTCACTGCCTCTAGGAAGAAGTGTTACACAGTGGAAATTATGTTCATCATGGAGGCCCATCCTTGATTGTGCTCTATGGGTTTTTCTTGCTGGGTTTTTCCATTGTAAAATATTATTAGAAACTAGCATTTTTAAGAGTTAAAATCCCTAAGATGGCCTGGGAAGCAGTTTTTAACATGCGCGGGCTGGTGACCACCTACATTGAGGTGGGGGGGGAGAGCAAATTTGGCTGTTGTCTCTTTGTGACTGTTTAGAACTGTCAGATTACTGAACCTTTCTTGAGTCATTGTTGAGCAGAGTCATGTTCATAAATTTCAAGCCGCTGAAAAGTACCTTTCTCCTGCTGAGCTTGATTGCACATGCTGAATCCACCACTAGAAGTTTGCAGACCATGATATTACACGATAGGTTCCTGTAATGCCTTCATTTTGTGTAGCATGTCGTTGAAATGTGCCAGAGAGTAGAGTGTGCCAGAGTAGTCTTCAGATTTAATCAAGAACCTTCATCAAAAAAGACTATTCCGCATTATTGCAAATGCTACATGGCTTTGCTGGTTTGAAAATGCAGAAATCTAGGACGATTGACTTTTTAAAGGTTTACCACGCATCACACTGATGGTATCAAAACAGACCAATAATAAATTTAGATGCTGGAAGATTCTTATTCCAGCAAAGATACTTATTCATATGAAAATGTATATTACAATGGAACCTCTATAACTAAGTCCTCGGTCTAACAAACTATTTTTTTTTACTCCAGTTATAGTAAAATATAAGGCAATATGAAAAAGAACCTCGATAAAAGTTAACAAACCTCGTTATAATAAACATATTTTGCCAGTCCCTTGGCCCTTCGTTATATCAAGGTTCCACTGTACTTAATTTTATTTATTTATTTTTCAAAAAGTGGGGAAGCCCCTTTGCCCTGCGTGGGCCCTGCCCTAGCTTGGCTCAGGTTAGATAATACCCCCAAAATAGACTAAGCTAAATCAGGCAACAAAGAACAATAAAATTGCAGCCTTTAAACAGTATTACAGCCCTTGGCTTGTTTATTGTAATCACTGGTATGACTAAAAAATAATGGATTTGTATATTGCACACGGTACGTAAGACCTAAACTTGTCCTCCAGGTTCTTAGCTGGGGCCTCACATTTATCTTGTGATCTGAAACAAGTGTGCAGATCAATTGTTACAGTAGGGTGGACAGTGCCTTTGTATGTGGTAAGGGGCCATGAATAACATTAGTCTATCCCATATTAAAAGATACACCAAGGTTTTTTGAAGTAGCAAGGCTGTGCGCAAAGAAAAATTGAAAGGAGCCCAGTACTCCGGACCCGTGAAATCCTGCGTGCACAGCACATGATTTCTATGAAAAAATTTCCTAGTTGCCCCGGATCAATAGTTAAGCACCACGGGCCAACTGGGTGCTGGTAGAGCACAACCTCGAGTAGTGAAACATAAAGCAGCAGTGATGAGCAGGGGCCATGAAACTATCTCATACATGTACATAACCCTCAGTTGCAGTAAATATTTCAGTGACCAAGCCTTGGTGATTATTCACTTTTAACTTGCAAATTGTCAGTCACATCACTTCAGTGATTCAGTGCATGAGTGCCCCTGTGTTGGAGTTTACTCTCAAATTATGATATACTATAATTATAATTATTATAAGTATTCAATGCGAGATTGCAAAACCTTTCGTTATTCACTCAAAAGAATAACAATACACAACATTCAAGATAGGATCACAATTTTATTTTAAAGACCACATCAGTAAATGGTAATAATTCTTGCTGTGTTTTACAAAATTGCAAAAAAAGTTTTTGCAATAAACTTGTGTGGGCTCTCTTGCTTTAGCTTGTGGCTTGAACTGACAATGTGTCTGTGCAGTTTAAATCAGGCTCTGAGTTTTGGGAATACTAAAATTGAAAAAAGCATACCTTTAATTTGTTTAGTTAGGGTTATGGCGACTAGCATGTTGGAAATACTGAGGAATTTACTGTATACTAAAATATCATACCATTCAGATTGCACCATGATCCTGATAGATTTTAATACTTTATCATAAAAATTTACAAGTAGAGCTTTAAAGATTTTTATAAAAGCTCAAAGGAATGTTAATAGTGGTAACAGAAAAATAGTACACTACAAGACCAAGGTGTGAGCGATAATAGTGTTTACAAAAGTAGAGGGCTCTCTGTGATCTGTTGCCTTAGGGCAAATCTTTTTGAAAGTTTCCTAAAAGTTTCGTTGTCGTCGCGTTCCAGTCGAAGAAAGGTCTAAGAAAAAATTTATCTTCGATGACTTCGCCAGTAGTAAAAGCAAAAATCACCACCGGCGATATGAATAAACTTAGCGTTGGGGACATTCACTGCACGTTTTACGAAATGTAAGCTTACCTCCATGCGCTCCCTCTTTATGCGAAGATTTCTTTCCGGATTCAAGATCTGTCGATTGATCTTTCTTCCATATGCTAACAAACGATCCAAGTTTAATTTTCCGCCACTGGTTTGCGTTGAAAGCCCCGTAAATGCTATTGCAGCACTCTTCGAAGTTATCAAACCGAGAAAACAGCGAAACTGTCAGCTCGAAACAAACCTATTCCTCGAATCTCACATTCAGTTGGTCAGACTCGCTTGCAGCTCAATTCTATCGATTGAAGCGGTTGCTGCTTATTGTTTATTGTTTATTGTTTTGTTTGCCAAAAAATTAAACAAATCAAATAAAATCTAATTACCTTAACTCTCATGGCGAGGAAGCCCAAGAGAAGCCACCGGGCTCCCTCAGTTAGATAATTAGAACAAAATATTATCATAATTACACACGGGAAAATCAATGGCAGAGCTACAGTAAATCTTAAAATAAGTATATTAGATAGTCGTACTAATCATAGTTCTAGGCTAAAAAAAGCGAAATGACAAAAAGAAAAACAAAAACAAAAACAAAAGAAAAGAAAATAAAAGAGCAAAGGAAGAAAAAAAAATACATATATATATATATATAAATTACTATTTATGATAAGAGGAATGCTTTCAGCTTACAGCAAAAGGAAGCGGTACTTGTTGCATTTCGAATTTCAAAACTAAGAGAGTTAAAAAATTTAGGACCTTGGAAACTGATGGAGAACTTTCTTATATTAGTCCTGCATTGTGGTAAATAAAAATGCTCCGAACTTCTAGTGCCATAAGAATGCACCTGGCGTGTCACCAGAAACATGTTATTGAAGCTATAAGGAAGTAAGCCAGATCTGTATTGATACATAAATTTTCCTATTTGAAGTTTGTAGATACTCTCAAGATTCAGAATTTTTAAATTTTTAAGTAAGGGGTCAGTGTGAGCATCGAAAGCACTCCTCGACATTATTCTTACGACCCGTTTTTGAAGTGTGATTAATCTTCTGAGGTTTGATGGGTAGGTCGATGCCCAGACGCTCACGCAGTAGAATAAGTATGGGTAGATAAGGCTAAAATAAAGCATCCGTAAGGAGGAATTATTAAGGCAAAAACTTGATTTATAAATTATACCTATGGCTTTAGACACTTTCCTAGCAACATTATGTATATGTGATTTCCATGTTAAATGTTCATCCAAAATTGCACCAAGAAAAGTAGCTTCCTTAACACGGTCAATCGAATAATTACTAATATTAGAAGCTAAATCAAGTGTTTGCCTGTTTTGTTTCGGTCTGAATATGATAAAATTAGATTTCTTAACATTAATAGATAGCTTATTTGTATAAAACCAACACGTTATCTTTTTCAATTCTAAATTTACAACTTCCATAAGATAGGAAGCATCAGTATGCGAATAGAAGAGATTAGTGTCATCAGCAAATAGTATCAGCTCTAAGACCTTTGACACATTACATAGATCATTTATATATACTAAGAATAACAGTGGACCTAAGATAGATCCCTGAGGGACTCCGCAAGTGATATCTAATGATGAAGAGTTGTAACCATTATATTGCACAAATTGTTTTCGACAAGATAGATAACTTTTAAACCATTGTAAAGCAATACCACGTTCTCCATAAAGTTCTAATGTGTCGAGCAAAATTTCATGATTTACTGTATCAAAGGTCTTAGGTAAGTCAATGAATAGGCCTAAAGTTACCCTTTTATTATCAAGATCTTGTCATACAATTGGATTAAAGCATGTGCAGTAGAATAATTTTTTCTGAATCCATACTGATTCCGTGAAAGAATATCATATTTATTTAAAAAATTAATGAGGCGATTGTAGACGATTCTCTCTAGGAATTTAGAGAAAACTGGTAACACTGATACGGGTCTGTAATTTGTGAACAAAGATTTATCACCAGATTTAAACAATGGAATAACTCGTGCAATTTTCATCTCTTGGGGCACAACTCCAGAATTAAGAGACACGTTAATTATATACGTCAATGGTGCGCAGATTAAGTTAAAAGACTCTTTAACAACATTCATTGAAATACTATCATGTCCTGGAGCAGTACCGGATCGAAAGCTGCTACAAATCTCAGTGACTTCTTGTTCTGATGACGATTGAAGAAAAAATGAATTAATAAAGCCTCCATTCAGAAAAGAACGATGAGATTTGTCAGACGCCGGAATCGATTTAGCTAAGTTAGGTCCAATATTCGTAAAATACTCGCAAAAACGGTTTGCTATATGAGTAGGATTACATATTTCTTCTTCATTAGATTTGAAGATGGAAGGCAACTTACACTTAATTTTCTTCTTGTTAATAAGATCGTTAAGTAATTTCCAAGTTGATTTTGCATTTGATTTATATTCATCTAACTTTTTATTGTAGTAGAGACGTTTAGCAACGCGAAGGGAATGTGTCAATTTGTTTTTATAACTCTTGTAAAGTTTCTCACGATATGGAGTTGGGTTAGCAAGGAAACGCTTGTATAATAAATTCTTTTTTCTTACCGATTTAAGAAGACCTTTAGTTATCCATGGTTTGCTCAAAGTAACATTCTTTACTTTCACTTTTTTGAGAGGAAAGCAGTCATTGTAAATGGTAGTGTATTTATCAAGAAAACACCGATAAGCGCAATCAGTATCTTTACATTCAGATAATTCATCCCAATGAACGTTTGCAAGCCTATCTTAAAACTTAGCGACATTATTTCCACTTTTATCACGAAAAGAAAGCCAAGAAGTGTTATTTACGTTCTTGTTTTGATCAAGAAGCAGTGTGAAAATCGGAAGATGATCAGATATATCACAAAACATCAGCCCGCTAACAGATAAATTGTTTAAATTATTCGTGAAAATATTATCAATTAGCGTAGCCGTGTTAGAAGTTATTCTTGTCGGACGTGTGATCAATGGAAAAAACATTCTTGAATACATGGTTTCTAACAATTCTCCAGTTGTGTCGTGACAATGGTGGTTGATTAAGTCTAGATTCCAGTCACCTAAAACATAGCAAATCTTGTTTGCTGCACACATACGGAGTCTAATGTAGTAAGATCGAAAGAGTCTTCCTAAACAAGAACGCGTCGAAGTGGGAGGAAAGGGAACATTGTTGAGCAGGGTTCTTGGAAGAAAATTGTAATGCTGTGTGTACTGCGTTAAGTAAATGACGTCACAAAGCAATTGCCTTGTGTTCTTGGTAACCAGGCCACAGGAACATAGCGTTTTAATGGCGGACGAAAATTAATGGTTTTTGAGCGCCAAAAAATACCACTTTCCTTAATCTCATGAGGCTATAACTTGCACACCATGTACTTCAAGTACTAAACTGCCAATCTAGCGAAAAAAAATGGTAGTCAAAGATTTGATCGTAGTAGCACTTCAAAGTTGTATGGAAGTTGTCAATGCATGAAAAGATCTGTAATGTGTAGAATAAGGGTCTCCACCAGGTTTAAAGGTCGATCACAGCTGCTGTCAGTGTGACCGTCAAAATATATTTTTAGTGTCACATGAGACGTGGTTCTACACGAGTGGTTGTGGGTGGTGGAGATGTGAATGGGTTACAAAAACGTATATACATTGATTTGTAAGATTCTTATAATAAAGGCTTGTTCTCACCCCAGATGCTTCTGATATACCAAAGGATGTTTCTTTCACTGAAAAGCAGCCTGTTGCAAAAACACATGCTTCAGCTTCTGTTTTCTCAGGAGAGCAATGTCCAGTTGATGAACAGGCTAAAACTAAGGATTTAGTCAGATTAAGTGAAGAATCTCCCTCAACTTGCCATACTCCTAGCATTTCAGGGCTCACTTATGACCAAGGTATGGAATTGAATTACATTGACAAGGTGCCAAACTTTTTTTTACGTGTTTTAATGGCTTGTTTTAATAAACTCTTTAGAATTTTTTGGCCCATTTAAAAAGTATTTTTTTATTTTAGTCTCTCTGCTATTCACCACTTTCAGATAGACCACTCACCTTGTTTACTTCCCAAAATTTTGCATAACCATTGTCTTCGATTTCTCTTGGGATGAGTGTAATACCCAGGAGAAATTGGGGGGGGGGGACGGCGTTAAACAACATGCGTGCAAGATGTATGTGAAAATGGTGAATAGCCAAGAATGCTCTGTTTGTGCAAAGCTTTTTCAAACAAAGAGCTGAGGAGCCTCACTGAGTTTCCTTATATATATGTTACAGGTCAAATTTGATTTCAGGTTATTTTTGATTTAACCTAGGTTGATTTTTTTAACCTGGAGAGTGAAATGTGAAAAATTAAACTTCAGAAAGTCGTAGGGAATTTATTAGTTGAGTTTAGAAAATTGCATATGGATGGAGCGGTCGTCTAGAAATTTTTAGCCGTTCTCAAGTAGAAGAACAATCTAGGCAATATTTACTTCTCCGAACAGATATTTTACAGAAAACAGTCGTTTGGTGCCCCTGTAATATGCTTTTAATCAATAATTTTCAGAAGCAGAAAACACTATTAAGATGTCGATCACCCCACGTGGATTAAGTAGTGAACTGGAGGATGTCGTGGATAGAATGTTCAGACAACAACTTGAAGTGTACTTGAAATACAATAAAAGAAACAAGCTTTCTACAGCCAGCGGACTGAGTGACTTCTTTAAGCATGTAGAAGATACTTACAACTTTACTTTAACATCTGTGGGTATGGGATCTTTGGTAATAAAAGGTCAGTGTCCTGACCTGCAAAGTCTGGAAAGTCTGTGGAATGATTATTGTTCTGGTGTCCTGAATGAAGCTGCAGAGAGGTTTTTGGTAACTGATGATATGAAGAAAGAAATCAACTTGGTGACACTCAGATTAAAGACTACTATTGAGGAAGAAAGCTATTTGACTTGCAAGAAAGCTCTTATGGAAAAGTCAGGTGAGTTGGTTTAGCACAATTTCTTGGGCAATTATCTTTGGACAAGAAATTGAGGTAATTCTCTGCTAGTGCTTTATAGCAATGTACTCACAAGTATACATGTACATGTATTGATAGAGCGGTTTTCTTAGAAACTTCAATCGAGATAATGGAACATTATTCAATGTATGGAACCGTTGCCAATCAGGCTGCTTTTCTTGTTACGTTTTGTGTTATGGTTTGTTGCCATATCCAAGTACTTAATACAATAGTAAATTTGTAAAAACAACATAGTAAACTAGATTATACATTTTAAAATTGAATTTTGCCAAACTGCCCGGCCAATGACATTTTGTGTAAAGGTTGGTTGCTTATGGCAGTGGTACTTGACAGCTAGAATGATCATCGTCGTAAGGTGTTTCACTGCGGGGTGGATCTTTAACATGAGAGCAATAGAGAATCTTCTGAGCTTCAAATTACTTCCCTGAAGCAGTTTGCACTAAAAGAACAGATAAATTAATGATAATGCATAAAATATTGTAATCGAAATAACATTTAGCAAGTTAGAAAAGAAAGATGTTGTAACGTTTAAGTTCAGTAAACTATATTATGACCGCAAGAGAGGTGGCTGTTAGCTGACGTTCACGTTCATGTGCAGTAGTGCAGTAATTGTACCTGGCTGTGAGTATTTTCTGTTATAGTGCTTTCACAAAATATGAATTCAATGCGTATTTTCGTTATTTTATTCTGCGTTAGCAATCAGCCGTAGCGTGCCACCTACCACTGAATCAGATCAAGAAGCAGCTTCACCTCTAATTGACACAAGCCCAGATGATTCTGAGGTAGGTGCTGTGTACTTGGGACTAAAAATTAAAACAAGTAAAGGCTAGAAAGGAAAGGAAATCGAGCTGTTTCATGGGGTACAATCTGTAGAAATAATAGCTTGGAAAAAAGTAAAACAGTTTTCAAACCCAGTTCCTTTAGACAACGTCGAAGAGAAAGACTGGTTGGGTTTCATTTAATATAAATTCAGGGCTGTACTCTAGCAGAGCCTGGTGGCCTATGGTACACAGCTGCACCCAACTTCTGCTCTTGGGCGACTAGAAAATCTTAGTATTTCATACAAATCATATGCTGGGCACCCTAGATTTTACAGATTCAGAGCACTGGGCTCTCTTCATTAATTTTTCTTAGAGCACAGCCTTGTAAATTGGAATTGTATGAAAATATTATAATGGAATGATTGAGCTATTTTGAAAAAATACCTCACATGGCAGTGGTTTAAGCGTATGTATCTTTGTGGCTTTGTGTCTTTGTGTGCTCGGATGTCTGTTGCAGGGGCCAATAAGGTTGAAGGTACAATGAGTTGATGCTTATAGGAACCAATAACACGTAGATTTTGGCGTCTACACATGACATTGCTTAAGGTCAAACAAGGGCACTTTGAGACCGCCATCTTGGCTGCATGAAGCATAAGTTAATTGCACATGTTGTAAAGCCGAGGGGATTTCTTAAAACCGTTTGAGCAAATTTCCTAGTAAACAATTTACGTTCTTTTATTTACGAATTGTAAAAGAGGCAAAGTCCAACGTCTTCACTTGCAAACTGTGTGCATGAGTTATTTTTATAATCCTGCTTACTGGATCACTGTGTGATCGAATTCTCTTAAGTACGAACTACGAAATGGGCAAAGTCCAACACTTTCACGTGCAAGCTGTGTGACTGTATATCTCATGCAGAATGGCTTTTCACAATAATAATAGTAACTTGAATATTTGAAGACCTCTTTAGTTTTGTAACTAGTACCTTAAGTAAAGGCTGTTGTCTTAAGAAGCAATAACTTATAACATTTTAGAATCAAGTCGTCAGAGTGAAAGACTGTTTCATTAAGTAGATTCGCACGTGACAACCTCGTGAATAATGATGGTACAACCATCCACAGCAATGATGAAAATCGTGACATTTCTTAGCTATTCGATATTCGATGAGCTTCATTATCTTAAGAAACCTTGAAGAAATCTTGAAACCTTCGAGTCTTCCCTCTAACTGAAGTAACGTTTGGTGATTTGATATTCAAAGTGCTGGAACAATTTATTTATTTTGCAACAGATGTCTGAAAGAAAGACAAAAAAACTGAATCTATACTATGAGGAACGACTCAGCTGTGCGCAGCGGTTCGCGTTTTCATTAATGAACAGCAATACCCAATTTCGCGCAAAAAATAGTCTTAATGTAGGACTAAAACAGTAGATTGTTGATACGGTTAGACTGAAGCAATCAAAATAGCTCATGCACGTTAAACGTGCCTATGTTCTTATTGTGCCAGTAAACAACAGCTCAATTTAAGATGAGAGCGTGCCTTAAACAATATTATGCACCTGCTGGCAGCTATTTGTATTTCCCTCAAGTTATTAACAGTAACACGTAGCCTGGGTGAATACCTATGAATTGTTAACCGTCCCAAATTTTGGTAACCATTTTTCTTTTCTTAGACAGTAACGGAAAACCACCATGGTTTAAAAGCGTTACTCGGCCCCTCCAGAACGGAAAATGTTTTAGAAACATATGACAATAAAAGAATGATAGAAAAATAAGTAAATTAATCTCTCACTAGGTGTTCTTACGTCAACTTACAGTTAAGCCAAATAATAAAAGTAGTAATGTCTAATTATTTTGGCAATTTACGTCAGTAAATGATGAAAGACTCCGGTTCTTCGGCCAGCGCTCGGCCAGCGCGGAAAAGCCACGTACTTATTCATGTGCGCCGACAATATAAAAGTCAGCGGCTAACACGCATTGAACAAAACAGAAATTGAAAGTGGCGGACGCGGAAATGATGGCTGCGAAAAGAGTATTTTCAGTCATAGTTTTTATGATTTTAAGCAAGCTTAAGGAAGTACAGAGTGACGAAGTATGGCAAAAAGAACAATTCCCAAACCCAGCGAGAGATATCGAAGCCTGCGGTCGTCGAGGGAAGGTTTCGTGTATCTGTGATCCCGACAACATTCTCAGCTACGAAACTGCTAACAAGGTCGAAGAGCTTCTGTTTTCTGTAAGGAAGAATACAGTTTCAGGTTGTAGCACTAGCAGCGAAAATCCTGGATTTCAAATTGGTGTTGCAGTTATGAAGAAAATGCATTGCGTTCCAGATGAATCTATCGCTGTTACAGCTGAAAATTTCGCTAAACTCTTGCATGACAGATGGGGAGTTGGAAACGCGGGATGCGATGATGGCGCGGTTCTCTTGCTTTCGATCACAGACCGACAGATTTATGTGTCCACCGGAAGAGGAGCAAAGGAAAAGTTGACAGATGACCAGATCGATGTCCTTATCGAAGAAATAAAGCCGTACTTGAAGAAGCAAAAGTACGACCAATCTGTAGAGCTTGCGGTTGTAAGGATGGGCGAAGTTTTCAGTGGAAAGGTTTTAAAACAGCCAATCTCCGTCATATTTTTTGGGGTCGCTGCTTTTGGGCTGTACATTGCATTCAAGAGTGAAGATGAGCGTTATGATTGCACCACAAAACTGGAAAGGATCCAAGAGGAGCGAGACAGAGCTAAGCAGTGCCAGAAATCTTATGCAAGCAAGTCCTGCCCCATTTGCTTGGAAGAATTCCAGCCCGAGACCAAAACCAGACTGCTAGTGCGTGGTCACAAGTACTGCGAGCCCTGCTTAGTGAAGTGGCTGGAGGATCATGTCACTTGTCCAATATGCCGAAAGGCAGCGGACAGACGCGGTGGCGACGATGGGGCCTGCCACTCATCTAGTACCTTGGACTTCACTCCCGAGCTTCAGTTCAGACTGATGATGCTTCAGTTACGGCACCCATTTTTTATCACCAGCAGCATGGTGGACAGGTGGAGTAGCAGCAGCTATACAGGAAGCTTTCTGTCTGATCCTCTCTTTTTCAGATCATCCATGCCTGGTGGTGGTAGCTTTGGAAGTGGGAGTGAATTTGGTGGAGGTGGAAGTAGTGGAGGTGGAGGACGAGGGGGAAGCTGGTAGAGTAAGATCGCCAGATCATAACTGATCTAGTAAAACTAGACCCTGAATTATACTCTAGGTTCCACTCAGATAGTAAAATCGAGACCACTTCAAAGAATTAATGACAGTAATTATTTATTCCTAAAAAATCTGAGATTAATGTACCCCTGAAATAATACTACCATAGTACTGGTAATTCATTTATTTTGCAAGTATGCAAAACAAAATACCTATTAAAAAATCAACAGGATGATAAAATGTTTTAAGATCTGAAGTGCACATGATCTTCATCCTGTGTGTGCATATTAAAAAGCCTGTTGCACACACAGAGGAATCCTGAGTTTTCAAGCCTATGGGGAGTTTGAGTAAAGGAATACTGTTTTGAATTATCAGAGAGCTGTGTTTGGCTGGGCAAGGGAAGACAGTTTTGGCTTAAAGTGAGGTTTGACAAGCCAAGGATTTGTAAACATTTGTGATTTAGCTGTATCATTATTACTATGTTTCATGGTATTTGTGCTTCTGACCTAGCACTGAGATGTAGTTACAGTGTATGTAGTAAATACTTTTATGAGTTGTTTTGCGTATGAATGACTGTTGTGCAGAAATGCAATGAAAACACTGTGAAAATGAATATTTATTGTTAAAGCGGTAGTATTGATAACTAAACATCTTTAACTAAGCAGTTTATTAAGAAATAAAGATCATTAAAATACATGTTTCTTATTTTAATGATTGTTGCATTTTAATTTAAAATGTCTCATGTGAAGAAGATTGAGGCTCCTACCAAGTTCCATTGAGGGGTTGCATTTCGAAAATTGAAAGACGCGTACCGCGAAAAGCGTAACAGAATTATTAATTTTTCCGGGGCACCATATATGCTGCTTGTAGTTGGCAGGATTTCTACACTGACGTCACTTTGCTACAAGAAAAAAGGCATGGCTGCTAAGTCGGCGTCTTTATCGCATATAAATAATTATTTGTAAGTCTGTGTTGCGACTTTTACTGTCTTTTAGCTTCTAAACCCATTCCGAAGCTGTTTTGGCAAAGTTTAGGATACAACGCAAGGTGAATTATTTCGAATCTCTTCAAAAAGAGGGAGTTTAGAACACAATTTGTTTATTCCCATACTTGTATTCTCTAATAAAATTCAATTTAAAGAGGATCATTGCAGTAAAAGATGGAAAAGAAAAAAACAAGAAGTGAAAAGAAAGCCTGAAAAAATGTTTGAGTTAAAGTTTTTCTTTTGCAACTACTTAAGACGCATGTTTAACTACGATGATATTTATATTCATTTCTTCATTCTGAGGTTCAAATATATGCAATTTATATACTCATTGTCTCAAAATTTAATTAGCCTGTTTACAGATCACCCTCTATATTTTCCTCTTCAAAGTCTGTCGAGCGCGCTGATAAAAAGTAAAAACCGCCGGGGATTTTTTTTTAACAAATAGAAAAATAAAACAACGTCTGTGTGCAGGCGAAACTTCAATTTCTAAGTATTAAACAAACTCCCATTGGGCTACCTGTGGACACGTAGGCTGTTCAGTACATTATAACAATCCTGAAACCGGAAGTCGTTCAAAGTGTGTTCAGCTGTTGTTCAGCTGTTACCTCGCAGTTGCTGTTAGCGAGCTGTTGATTTTTCTTTTCATTACATTTCTATAATGATCAGGCGAAATAGTACTCAGGGAGCTATAAGAGCAGGTAAGTGAACACTGCAGATAGGTAAGTTAGAAATGATTTTGGTTTTGGACGAACTATGATCTGAAGCGAAAGAACAGACATTCGATGTCTGACCCCCGTGCATGCTACAATTCATATTTTTCTCACCAAAGACAAAATTTCGTAGATTAGGTGGAACTTTGGCCAGCTGTGGTTCAATTTTAGAGGTTAACTTTTGCTTATGAGTACAGATAAGAAAGCCTCTTTCTTTCTTGGGCGGGATCTTGATTTCATTGATAGTTTGCGCGCCAATTTTAAATTTCACTTGTTTTAACTACACACATTTTATACCATGCCAACCAAAAGAAAAATTCTAAAGAGACGAAAACAATCCTAAGAACGATGCTTGGGGTAATAAATGGCGATATGGAAATTCATCCTATGAAGATTTCTGAATTAAAGGTAATGTTTTCCAGAAATATAAAATCAAGAGTCTCATTGAGAAATTCTAAACTCTGTTTTTGAAGTACTAATTGAAGCTGACATTATCTGACTCAATCCCATTTTGAAATTCATAGTGACATTTTCAAAAGATTACCAAAGATCCAAAATCCTTGGTCCAAAACAGGATCTGGGATTTACCTTCTTTGATGGCCTGGATATGGTATTTTAGGGGGTGTTTACATGACACCTGGGCGACCTTCACCCCAAAGCGAGTTCACTCCGGTTCCCTCTCATGGCTCTATATTTGTTTACATGATACCACCACAAAATGTTATGCCGGCGCAAGTCACCCTGGCATGAGCTCACTCCGGCTCTTGTACCGGGGCAAGAATTTCACTCCAGTACAAAAACTCGCAGTGGTATCATGTAAACGCAAAACAACCACCCGTTTCAGTGTGAAATTGGTCTGCCGGTAGACTGGAATGGATAGCACATGCGTAATGTTGGCGATTTTGAATCACACATGTATTTTATCAACATGAAATAACCCAGTCATCATGTAAAATCAAAAAGTCATCCCGTTATGAGACTCGAATCGGTGCAAGTTTTCTCATGTAAACACCCCCTTAGTGTAAATAGGGAAACAACAGCATAAGCGCATGAATGACGTCAGAGTGACTATTTTGCAATTTTTGTCTGAGTTTTGTCATTTTTCTCATTTTAATGACAAAGACAGACAAACATGACAAATTATAAGTGAGGAATTTCGTAATGTTAATTTCAGTTTGTTTGTCTGCGTTTCGGGTCTATAAATAGTAACTGTGCGCAACACTTGTGAATCAAGATTGTAATGATGAATGGGATATAATACCACCTGTTGATATTATACTGTTATGCATGAGCCCATGAGTTGGGTGATGTGAACTGTGAGGTAGATGTCAAGGCATGGGGATGATTATAATGCACATTTATGTAGAACCTGTTATGTTTTACTGAAAATATACATGAGAGTTGGAGACCTGTTAGCTACAATCATTTACTTGTGTTTTTACTGCCTGAAAGCAGTATTTTGTATTTTGTATTTTATTTTTTACTCAATCCTATAGATAATAAATCAGTTGTACAATATTAATTAGTGCAAGGTTGTTTAAACTACGCGTACATAATGTTAGCAAGAAAAATAATTTAGAATGGAGAAGGGCACATTATAGTGAAACTAATTATGGCCCTTTAACAAGATTGACTTTATTCTATTATTAATAGCTTTTTTTAGCTTTGTTATTCATTAAAACACAAACATGCATGCATGCACACACATGTATGCACACAAGTCAATATTGAGCAAGATAATATTTTGTAAGTGCCTTTTTGAACAACAGGAACTCTTACATGAAATTTAACTAAATTATTTAAACGCACAAAAACGCAACAAATAACACTGAACTAGCCAGCTTCAAAGACCCAGACATCATCATTGGTGACCGGTGACCCTACTTGCAGTGCAGATAAGCTGAGTGCTTATCAAGACCACCATGTAACAGGAATTTATGTCGACGGATTTGGGAAATGAGATATGCCACCATGTCCTCTCATACATATAACTATAGTTGTCAAATGGTCTGCCAATAACTCAAGAACAATCATTCTCTCGGCTCAGTTAGGAGAGTGCTCGTCTGCACAGAAAATTTTGGGAGGTCACAGGCTCAAGCGCTGGCCAGACGACTGACCATGCAGGCTCCAATTGTTTAAAAGATGGTTAGCGCTACACACCAGATAATTAAATCACTACCAAATGGATAGGTATAAGGAAAATGAAGAACATTATTTACTGGATAGAATGAGATTTATTTGGCGCTTTAATATTTAGTGCTATCCTCCTTGGCCAGGTTGTTCAAAGCTGGGTTAAGATAACCCAAGGTTTATAGTCTGGAATGTGAATTCAGATATCAAAGCTTGATAGCAAATTCAGTTTAATTCTCTTTGTCTGCAATTTGTTGAGAGGATTCTCTGACTAGAAGAGAAAATTATTGGAGAAAACACTCTTGAACAAAAGAAGGAGAAACATGATTTAAATTTAATCCCAGGTTAGTGCTAATCAGCCTTCGAACAAAATTAATGGACCCTTATGTTCAACTGGGGTCAGAGTCTAAACTGGTATGATATTGCTGGTTGTGATAATTAGTTCAGATGATTGCATCACTAGACAATGAGTTAAGGCATTGGCATTGTCTTCTTTGTCTGTTCAATATTGTCAACAAGAGGATGTAAAAAAGCATTGATTTAATTTGCTTCCATTATTACACCCAAACTCTGAAGTTCAAAAGCCGCCTTCACAATAATTGCATTTTTCACTGCTTTCAATCATAATTATGATTACAAGAAACAAACCTTAAAACACAGAAATGCACAAAATGGATTCAAATCAACCAATCAGAATTCACATACAGTGTACCATGAAGTTTTGAACTCCTTGAAATAGACTTCTGTTTCCTAAGAGGTTTGCTAGGATGATTGATGGCAGCGAAGAATGCAATTTTTAATTGGCTATTGAAGTTCAGAATTCACTTGTTTTTGAAAAGCACAGTAAGGCAAATTTATCTTTCCTTCAATAAGCATACCACCCAGCATGTGTATTTTTGTAGAGCTTTATAGATTCAAAACCCAAATTATAACGTGTTAATTAAATTAGCCAACATCATTCTATTAATTAAAACATATAAATATAAACATAGTTTTACTCTGTAAAGTTCAGTAGGTATTAAATTAAAAAGCTACACCTTTTCTGATCTCCCAGCTTATGATATATCTATTACTGAATTTCACTCTTCTTACTTTTTATGCTAGGTATCCATCGGCACTTTTAAGATGAAAAGCCAAGAGGACAGCAAAGTTAAGTTAGATCAACTCAAGAAGCATGGACCACTTCCTTTTCCTGAGATCTTATTGTACTGGGTTTTGTGGATCTCAATGTGTTCATACTCTATGTATAACATCTTTAGAGCCTCACGAGGTATGGCATCGCAAACTACTGTGTACATGTATGTGTTATTAATTTTTATTGTCCCAAGGATAAAATGGCACCTGTCTCAACGTTTTAATATTACTCTAAACCATTTGGAAACAGGCATCACTTTCTCTATTAAAACAATAGACTTCCATTAATTTAAGGATATTTAGTAAGCACCCCCTCCAATTAATTGACCTAATGTACCTCATTTCTGCTCTCCGACTTATGCTTTCCTTTAAATTTGTCAAGAAAAGACAATTAATAATATTAATATCATTCTCAAATTATTAATGTTTCGTTTTGAGGAGCACTTCAATCAAGATTTAGTAACATTAGATCCCATTATGTCCGCGCTCAAATACTGACAGTCAACTCTCATGAAAACAAACACCATGTACTGGGGTACTTAGCACTTAAGCTGTCCAGCTTTAGCTAAAACTTTGGGCCCCAAAGCATTAAAAATATGTCACACCTTGAGAAATATTTCTCCACCTGTTACCTAGATGTATAACCACGAGGTTTGCAGTTCCTATACGCTAATCCGTTAGGTGTTTAGGAGACAATAAAACAATTTTACAACTCAAGAAGTTCGCAGAAGTGCTTCTCAGTGGTTTATCCTTTTAAAAAATATATTTTAAGAATATTCTGAAGTAACTGAGGGACAGCAAGATGACAGGCTGTTTTAGGGGAGTGATTATATAATGTGTTTATTTAGAAAAAGGTTCATGAATATTTATGAATTGAGTGTACTTCGATCCTGGTGCTTGGATTGCACCACCTCTACCTGTAACCCCCCCTCCCCTCCCCCCTTTTCCTTCTTACCTGGTTCATGATGTGCTACCATGACCCCCAAACCCTTAGCCAATACCAGACCTAATTCGAGTAAAGTTAGCTAGACTGAACGCCCCTAACCCATTCCAATTCTAGAGTCGCTATTCTCCAAAACTACTGAGGGTCAATTCCCTGTTTCCCTTTAAAATCTTTAACCAGTTGATCATTTTCGTGGAAAATAAAAACCTATTCAAGACCCAAACTTTCTGATTTGTATGCCCGATCCCAGACTTACCTGTTTGAAAACCACACCCTTGACAGCGTTACATACCTACCGGTATGTTTGTATATACTTTATATATAGCTTTCATACATGTATGGCATTTTTTACACCCCCACGGGCTCCAAGGGTTCTTCTCAACACTCTCGTCAGAGACAAAGTATTGTGCTTGTTTCACAAAAATTGCTATTAGAGTGACCATCCTCTCGCTGTTCACAAGAGGGCAAGAACAAAAAAAGTTCTATTCGTTATGTCCTTGTAGGGTGTTGTTCTTTCACTTTAATTATTGCGTGTCAATTTTCATAGAACACAAAGATGAAATCTACGAAGAGGATTTAAAAGAAGCATGGACGTTTCTGGGGAGAAAAAAGGTCCACATAGTTTTTATTGTTGTTCTTGTTGTTGTTTTATTCAAATGGAGTGTACCGGTATGTCACTTATATTATAACACTATAACATTGGTACGGACTAATCCACTGAAGTTTCACGCGTGAGAGGCGAGCGAAGCAAAATTTTCACGCAACTCGCCCGAGCTCGTCCATGTGATGGGGAACTATAAACACGCAAGTAGACACGTCAGGAAATACCCTCGATGTTTGAGGCTTCTTTGGAAATGGCAATCAGTTTAACTTATGAGGACCATCGCATCTTTGCGTTCATCACCTTATGACATGACCTTTACAGGCGCTGCGACTGGAAGTAATAGGCGGCGTTCGGCAATTGCGAGTTTCAGCAATTGCAGCCTGCGTGGTAGGCGCAAAGAGGAGGGGGGAGAGGGAGAGGGAGAGAGAGAGGGAGAAAAACGCGAAATGGAAAATCCCCCTCCCTTTTCTTCCTGCTGCTGATCCCCTACCCCTTTCAAATTTTAATGCCTGCTACGTAGGCTAGAGAAATTAGTGCACGGTTCTCGACTTACCTCTCGTACTGAACAGCAATAAAATACAATGAAATAATTGATTTGCAACAAGGTTCCATTCGTGAAATTTATGTTTGATGCACTTGAAAGCAGTTTCATTGTCAGTTTTTTTTTTAACAATTCTAGTTAGTCCGTGGAATACGGGCGCTATTTTTTTGCGTTTTTCAGGCGAATAGGACGTGGAGTGCGAGACACGCGCGAAGCGGGAAGAAAAATTGAAAGAACGCCTGTTCTATGCAGGCTAAAATCTAGTGAGATAGATGTTCTTCACTTTCAGAAGCACTAAATAACTTTTTTTAAAAAAATGTAGGATGTATCAGATTTTGAATGGGAATTTTGGACAAGAACGGTAGCAGCCATAATACCTGCCATGTTGGTTCACATGATTGGAGGACTCTTTTTTTCTCGTTTCTTTCCTGAGGTGAGATCTATGGTGATCGACTTGATTTAGTTTTTCCGTATTTAAAAAAAAAATACTTTAGCTAAATTTGAAAAATGTGTGACTCAGACTGTACATAAATTAGGTTCATATTCGTCATCCTGTTCTATATTTGAGCACGAAAAGGTCGCGAGCTTTTCACATGACGTCACGGCGGCCATATTGGTGTCCCAAAACAATGAAACGGCGGCCATGTTGGTGTCCCAAACCAGTCCTCTGGGAGTTGAACTCTTTTCTTATGCAAACGCGTTCTTTTGTTCCAATAAATTTGCATATATGCTGGCCGCGTGAATGAAAACACTCTATAGCGATCTTTTTTGCTGATTAAGACTTGGTTTAGTACCGGGCTCGAGGTATGTTTGTAGCCCTCGTGTCCCCTCCCCACCCCCCTTCATTGTCCCCTTCCTCCCCGACCCCTATTCCGCGCTTGCAACGCAGCCCGCTCATCCCCAGGTAGACGTTCAGAAAAGTCCTTCGTCCGATTTAACATGCGCAACTTAGTCGCTCGCTTGGCTCCTTCGCGGCCTAAAAAGCCCGCTCCGCTCGCTAAGAAACTCGTGAGGTCGACTTGTAACAAGTCTAATCCCCAGGACTTTTCGCGCGCCAGCTCGAGGTATCCAGATGGGCGATTTTCGTCACGTGCAAAAATTTTGTAGCGCTTGAACCAAGGACGTGTTTTTTGGAAAACTTTGCATTTACTTGCAAAGTGACATATTGCCAATTTTGTATTTCCGACGATATAAGGCCCTCACTCAGTTTCTATAGCAGGGTCACATTGACGTACACGTGTCATTTCGAAGGCGAACTGACATATAAGACGTAGGCGAATCGACTCTAGTCGTGGGCGAACAGACCGTAGGCGAAACGACCGGATACCATTTCGATTCCCCATCACAAGCTATAGAATCGGGTTCAGTTTTTTTTTGGTAAGGCTTGCGAAGGGTGAAAGCTCTCGCCCTTACCTCCAGGCAACAGAATGAACTTTTTTATAAGGAACCTAACGACTGCGGGTTAATTAATCCATTTTCATTTCTTCATTACCTTAGTTCAAAGCCGTCTATTGCCTGATGTTTACATTGTCTTTTTTGCTGTATGCTACTGGATGGAAAGCGGTCGTCTTTATGATCGCTTACTGTCTGATTGTCTATGGAGTTTGTGCTGTCTTCAAATCTGTTATCGTGCTGTGGACGTGCTGCGTGGTTCTTTCGCTTTCTCTCCAGATCAACGTCACAAGAATCGGGCAGGTATGATTATGATATTGCGATTCTTCGTAAGTTTAAAACAACCTGAGTCTGTTAGAGATTATTGTATTAAAGCAAGGGCGTTCCTTGGATTTTCCCGAGGTAGGCGCGCAGTTTTTCAAATCATCTCTACCCGGTCTCCCGGCAGATTGGCCATGCGGGCAACTTAAAGATACAGTCAAAGTCCTCTTTACGGACCAGTGGCGGATCCAGGAGAGGGGCCAGGGGGACCCGGAGGGCCCGGCCCCCCCTTATCTCAGGGTCTGGGTGACCGCCCCCCCTTATCTGAAGGTCTGGATCTGCCGCTGCGGACACCCGCTTAATACGGACGCCTCATTATTACGGACAGTTGCAAGGTCCCTTAGTGTCCGTATTAACGGAGTTTCTCTGTATTTCCATTTTAATGATAAAGTAATTGGACCTTAGACTTCAGGCAGCAGTTTGGTCTTGCGCGTGTGGCAACTCGTCGGGTAAATTACTCGTTTTGCTTTGAAAAAGTATCTGGTAGAAGCAAACGCGGAGTTACGTGGCTCCGGCAATTCCACCATTTTCAGCTATTTACCTACTGCTCACTCCTTTGCTTTGTTTTTCTATTTTTTTGTTTGTTTTCATTTATCTTCGCCCTTTTTTCAACGCACTTGCTTCAGGAGCGCTCTACCGGGAGAGCTTGCTCGCAGGCTAATTTTTTTTGTAAAATCCAACTAGTGGTCTTTTAACAATGCTCCATTCTGATTGGTTGAGCTACTACTAGGCTATATGTTATAGCCCACTAGTAGCGAAAAGCGCCGGATTTTTGGCGGCAAAAAAGGATTAAAGTCTAGCTTTAACTAGCCAAAGTTGTGTTGTCTCGATATTTTTGACCAACTAGTTGGATTTTGCTGAAACAATTATTCCTCTCGACGTGGCCTCTAAGTCGATAGCCCATTTGGCCTTCAGCCTCTTGGGCTATTAACTCAGAGCCCATTTGGGCTCAAGGAATAATTGTTAAATAGTGCCAAGGAGGCGTACTTTTCTTTTCTTCCCTTGTGCACGCTCCTCCTCGAAATTCCTCCCTTCGCCCAACCATCGGAGGTATTCAAAGAGGATAGCGACGGCAAATTGTTGTTGCTTGAAATATTTAAAAGTCTTACGTGCTTTCGGAACTTTACGGTAATAATTGTCACGTCAATCATTATTTCTTAGATCGATGTTCTCAGCACCGATCCTCAAATAAAGAATCTCATCTTGTTTGCGTCCATGATGTCCGTTTTACGATGTATAAGTTTTGGAGTTGACTACTGCTGGCGGTCACGTGAAACATACAAAGACAAACCACTGAAGCCTTACTCTTTAATGGATCTTCTAGTCTACAACTTTTACTTCCCAGTGTTTGCCAATGGACCAGTTATCACTTTTGATAATTTTCAAAAAACGGTTAGTGCAGCTAATTGTAGGCTATAAACACTGAGGTATATCTCGTTGAAGTACAAATAAAAAATGACATCACTCTCAACGCAAGAAGTTTTTGAAATTCGAATAGAGTTGTATAAATGGGATCGTGTGTTCTTAAAGCTGAAGTGAAGATATTTCGGACGATGTTGTTATATTAAATTGCATGTCTTCAAAATGGCCATAAATGGTGTGAAGCTTGTTTATATTTTCAAAAAAAGTATCGTGGAGAAATTTGTGGGTCTAGTGTAAACACGCATGAAGGTTATTGCAGTTTTTGTGTGGTTCCAACCAATGGTGGCGCTACTCTATTGCGGGCACACGATAACTGGAACCACCTTTTTTATAACTGAGCTTGGTTCACAAGGAATCACTGGTGTGAACCTGGTAGGTTCACCATAAGATGTAGTTCTTTCATTTTACGAGCTTTTGTGAACCAGCAATTATGAGAAACGATTTTCCTTTCGTCTTCGATATTTGCATTAGGAAATGTATATACATGTATTTTGGAAATACTTTTATTTTACTTTGGCAAGGATAATAAAATAGTGTTCGTAAGTAAAATTAAAAGATCCGTCTCGAATCCGCAAAAATGAAAAGTCCTGCCTACGCCCCTTTTTTTGAGACAGATGGTGTTGTGCGAATCAGACTGGAAAACCAAAATTCGTGTTGACGCCAGTTTCACTTTGTGCTAGTTTCACCACCCTTTTTAGTGACACTGTACTGATTAATATTCAGCTTTAAGCGTGTGTTGTGAATATTCTTTTACATGCTAATTTTTTTTGCCTATTTGCCTTTTTTCCCCTTATTGCAATCCCCACTTTGAAAATGCTTTTAACTGATGTTCTCTCAAAATTAAAAGGTGGTGACAGGTTGCTGTCGGGCAAAAATTTTGACTAGTTTCCATAAATCTAGGGTAAAACGGGCGACAACAAACGTGCAACTAGTTTCGCAACATAACTGAAAAAGCGTTGTTGCGCGTTTTACCAACAGCGTTTAAACCTGTCTTGCAACAAATCAGGTCGTTGCAAGCTGCGTGAATACGAGCCTCGGAGAACTGGTTTAAACTACACGCGAGTTACACCATACGCGCGAGTTACTACAGTTGCTCCAAACAAGTTCGCCGTGGCAAGTTCGGTAAAACACGCAACATGTACAGATTTTGTTGCAAAAAGTAGAAGAACCCTCTTTTTTCTGCAATAACTTTAGGCGTCCTGCAACAACTTGATATGTTGCAGGACAGGTTCAGCAGTGTTGTTGCAAAACACGTTGCAAGTTTTTGTTGTCCGTTTTGCCGTGGCTTTGACAAGACGAATCGATTTTATTCTCCATCCAGTAATTGGGAGTTGTAGCCACGACCATGCCGGCGATGGCAAGGAAAATTTCACTATAGTTAAAATAATTTTCTTGGGGTTGAATTGCTAGGAACCGTACCCATTTTATCGTTTTTTGGTTGGTCGTCCTGCATAGGTCGTCGATGAGGAAATTTCATGTCGTTTCCAGTGCAGTGACGGAATGTACCAAAAGGTGTGATGCACGTGCAGCGTTGTGGTTTTTCTTCGGTTAACGCTGTTGTTGCCTTCGCGTCGTCGTTGCCAAAATTCCCCTCAATAAAGCGCTTACTTCATTTCGAGAACTCAGTGGTGTTATTTATTTAATCACGTATTAATTTACTGCTTTTTGACTTTTTTCAGTTTTATCAACCTTACAAGTCTTTTACCCGCGACGAAATCAAGTCACTTCTCCAAGATACGGTGCGAACAATATGGTGGTACATATTCCTGGAAATCTACCTTCATTTCTTTTACTCTACAGCCATCACATTAGATCCAAGAATATTCAGCTCTCTTTCCAATTGGGCTATCGCAGGAATCATGTACTCTCAGCTAAATATTTTCCTTGTGAAGTACAAAGTATTTTACATGGGCGCTGGAGTGTTCGCGCGGATCGATGGAGTCAGTGCTCCCTTGCCTCCGAGATGTGTAACAACGTTATATCTCTTCTCCGATATGTGGAAGTAAGAAATATTTCTTTTGTTGTGACTAGTATAATAAATTCAGTGGAACTTGCATTAAGTGGAGCCCGCACTATAACAATTTTTGTTAATTGGACATATGAGCATGTATTCGTTGGAAATGAGCGTCATTTAGTCCCTATTTAATTGGTACCGCTTATATAATTTCGACCATAGAGTCCTGATTTCGAACCCTTCAGTGTCAGATCCAGACCTTCAGATAAGGGGTGTGTTGGGGGGGACATGGGGCAAGGAGGCCCCTGAGATAAGAAGGGGGGACAGTCTTAAAAGAAATTTTTCTCATCCCTTCGGGCCTCAGTTTGGTTCAAAAAATAAGGAGGCCCTGGGTCCCCCATCCCCTCCCCTGGATCCTCCACTGCCCTTGGTTCTTCGTAATCTCCGCTGAAAAATCCAAACCAAACCTAATTTCTTCTCACCAGTCGGCAAACACTGTAATTTTAACCCCGATTTCTCAAACCTTCCGAACACTCGAAACACTTTGCCTTTCCCAAGGCTGTTTTTGTTTCGATTCTGCTGTAATTCTAAATAGGGAGCTTACGACGGCGAAGAGAACGTCACTTAAAAAGTGCACTTGCGCTCTTCAAACGTCATTGCTCTTATCACCGTAATTTTTAACGAGTTATTATAACTCCAAAAATGGAGTAAAGATTTTAGGTACAGGATAACCCCTTTTTGGGGGTTACTTTATATTAACTCCTAATTTAACTCTGAATTTGGGGTCATTTTTACTCCTGAAAAAGAATTCCTTTTACTCCCAGTCTGGAGTTGAAATAACTCCGAAATGGGGTTATTTTTACTCCTTACATGGGTTGTTTTTACTCTTTTTGGAGTTAATTTAACTCTGAAAGTGGAGTAAAAATTTTAGGTGCAGGATAACTCCTTTTTTGGGGTTATTTTAACTCCTCAATATCTGGGGTCACTTTTACTCCTGAAAAAGAGTGCTTTAAACTCCTTTTTGGAGTTAAAATAACTCCCCAAAAAATGACTCCACTGTAAGGAGTTAAATTAGCCCCACTAGAGGAGTTATTATAACTCCTTGAAAATTATTGTGATTCCGTCACATTTAGTTTCAAAAATAATGAAGAAGGGATGCCGGGAACGACTCCTGGACTTCCCTCGATGCAATGCATCTCTCCATCAAATTTGTCCCAGGATGGCTGGAACGAGTGCCCTGCAGTTGGGCTCTCTTAAGATGGCTTGAAAGGAAAAATACTACGCAGAATCTCATGCAGGTTGGCGGAAGTTGAACAGTTGAAAATTCATTTGAAAACCAGTTCTTTTAAATGCAGCTTGCTTCTGGATATCCCATTAAATCTTTCCATAGGAAATGGAAGATCTTATTAGCAGTTCTAATTGCGCTCGCCGCTTGGTATATTTGATTCATTTAGTATAATTATAACTGAGGTTATAGATATATTCGCGCGCTGTTATTAGTCCAAGACTGCATTAAAAAAAAAAAAACTTTTTTGTTTCATAAACAAGGCCAAATTACATCACAACTTGGAAGTAAAAGAAAATAAATTAAAGACGTTTCGTACTCCTCGTAGAATGTTATATACCCCAAAACAGAGGAAAATAAGCCCACAACGAGGTTAGTTGACCGCAAAATGAACCCATCTCTCGAAATTCTACTCCAGAAAACAACTTTTTTACCACAGTTTTTCGTTTACCTTTGAAAATATTAGAAGTCACCCGCTGTAACTATTTACGAAATTAACTTTTTTAAACCTGCAGCAAAGCCACCAGCTCTCTGGCCATATTAAAAAGCGCATATTCATGCAGTCGAGGAGAAATTGTAATTATTTCGAAATATGTGCTAGCTGTTAACAAATATACTCCTGACAGTTGAATACCAAAAGCGACCGTAATAGTTTGTTAGATGGCAGGAAGTGCAAACACTGGTTTGCTCCAAAGAACACAAAAGATATTTAGAAACTCATTTTGACGTGCTGTAAATTGTCGCTCTTTAAATTGGCCTTTAGAATGCGCTTGTTCATATGTAAGACATCTGTTCTATATACAGTATCAAGGGAAGGAGGTAACGCTAAAATAGCTGGAAAGATCTTTCTCAAACTTGGTAGTTTTCGTTTGCTGTGCTTTTACTTGATTCCTCTTCGTCAGATTTTTTTAAACAAGCTGATCTGCAAGTTCATTCTACTTCTGAACGCAACGTCTGCACATCAAACGTCTCTTTTCCGATCTTTCATTTCAAATGATTCAAGATCAAGCTGTTGCGTCAGCAGATTAGAGTCCGTCAGTGATTCTTTTGAAAAATTCTTTATCTCGGCACTTCATTCATGGCAGCAGCTGAAGGATTGCACACGACGTTCGTTATTAATTGCGCCTTCAACGCTTTTTCGTCTTATACTGCCGTAGCATTTAACATCATAGCAATTCAAGCGATGAGAAAAACGCCCTTGCCAACTCCTCTAAAAACATTGCTTATGAATCTAGCTTTTTCTGATCTTGGCGTCGGCTTGCTGGCCCAACCTATGTACGTTGCAAGTCTTTTCCTCAAGGCGATGAAACTGAACACTGATAACTATTTATTCAACATCGTCTCTGTAGTCGTAGTGAATATTCTTTCCTTCGCTTCGTTCTTTTTTGTGACTGCCGTAAGTGCAGACAGATTCTTGGCTATTCATCTCCATCTTAGATACCAGGAACTTGTAACTCTCAAACGAGTTGTTTCAGCAGTTATATCAATTTGGGTTTTGAGTGCAATTTTTTCGCTTCTATTTTCCTATATCCCTGAAATGGCATTTTTAGTAAAAGTTTCAATAACAGCGTGTTTTATTTCGACGACGTTTTTCTATGTTAAGATTTATGTGGCTGTTCGACGACACACAAGTCAAATTCAAGCCTTGCAAGTTTACGAATTATCACAGAATGGCGAAACGGCGTCCGCTTTGAGGCTGAGAAAATCTGCTGTTAGTACATTCTACGTGTATGTCGTGTTTGCGGCTTGTTATTTGCCGAAAACTTGCATCTTGTTGGCTGGTTTCAGGGCTTTACAAAGTACATGGATTAAACATTTGAATGTTTACACCTTTACTCTGCTTCTTGTGAATTCATCTCTAAATCCTGTGATTTATTGCTGGAAGATGAGACACATTCGACACACTGTCTTTGCATTACTGAGAAATATATATTCCAAGGTTTGCAATAACAGCAACAACAATATCAATGTGGTTGGAGCACTAGAGCAACTCCCAGGAACCCTTACTAGCCTGTGAGCTACGGTGGCGTAGTGTGATAGCACTTGCTTTCCAGGTGAATTTGACCCGGGTTGGGTTTATTGTTGGCTGTCGCCCTTTGCTCTGTGAGCAGTTTTCCCGCAAGGGCATACTGGGGTAAACTTGATATGTTCCTAAACAGATCATGGTCACACACCACAGCCACATCATCTCCAACCATGGTGAAAGATAGCGGGCAATGAGAAACCATGACGGGTTCCTTGGTCAACTTGTTGCCAAGGCCCACTGTATATTTGAAAAGGCGATACGTCTACCATCGTCGTCAGACTTTTTACTCGTTAAAACACAGAGGAAGAAAAACGCGAGCTGTCAAAAGAATGGGTGACATTTAGCCGTAGAAGAGAGAGTTTGCGCGTGTAACTTCGCCGGTAACATGTAACGGGAAAACCTTGCACCGCTAATATCGTGCACGGAATAGATTATATGCCGCGTTAGTTCTGTTTGAAGACGTACATCGGGATAGGTTGTAATAATAAGTAGGCTGAACGCACGCATATCAATGTAAAGATTTATTTGTTAATTAGTATACAAGAAGCGTGCTTTCGTAAACCGAATAAAGATGAATGAGGGGAACATTGGGGAGGGGGGGTACCCAACACCGCAATACCGTAAGAAAAACTAGCAAATACCGAAATACCGCGTCAAAAATCGATCAAATACCGATACGGCATTTATGATCATTCACGTTTACTTAAAACTATATCCATCTCACGTGTTTGTTTACCTCAAGTATGTATGCACCAGAAATCAACCTCAGACATTGCGACAAAAGGTGAGAAGACCTTGATCGGTAGAACGATCGAAAAGCCCGGTCATTGCATGCCCTTCCAGTTTGGTCATAGATTGTGTAATCATTTACCACTAGTAATAGTTGACGCTGCAGCTGCCCTCGCTCCGTATATTCTCGGTCAATAGTATTCTTGCTCGTTGTGTAGCTCTTTGAAATATACCGATTCATAATGAAGATGTTCACCACCGTGGCCCATATAGGACATCAACAATATTTCTTTTTTCGATTGAAATTTTCATCTTAATGTTTGTCACAAAATGTGAGTTGTTAAGTCTTTTCAAATAAACAACGGATTTTTTTCTGCAATAATCCGAGTTGTTAATTTTTCAATTACACAACTCGGATTTTTACCGCAAAAACCCGAGTTGTGCAATCTCTAAAGTACACAACTCGGATTTCTAACGCAAAAATCCGAATTGCTAATTTCTCAATAAAACAACTCAGATTTTTACCGCAATAATCAGAGTTGTTTAAAGGTCAAATGAACCAAAAAATTGACATTTTTTCTTTTGTCACTTTACCTTCTTGAAACACTAAAAAGAACCATCCTAAGTGAGATTTGGGTAAAGATTTTTCTTCCCAAGCCTTTATAGAAAGATAAAAGTTCAAAATCCGAGCATTTCCGAAAACTTCACGAAAACGTTTCTGAAATGGCCGAGTGATAGACTGGAGACTATACGTGACCTCAATGTTGGTCTTTCAGGGCGGAAAAACGTTCTGCGCAAGCTTCTGCGCATCCCTCATCGCCTGCGTTTGTTTGTCTCGTTCTGTGAGAGTTCTGACTTAGACTGAATGAAATACATGAGGTGCGAACGTTTATTCCTTGTAAAGGCTTTTTTTTTGTTTTTGTTGTTGTTGTTTTTATTTTGAAAATTACTTTGGATTCAGAACAACCAATGTTAGAGTAAACAACAGATCATCCGTCAGTCTGAGGAGGAATAAAACGTTTCGAACATTTCCAAAGAGGTTTGTATTTTTCTGAATTTGTGAGTTGATTTTGTGTCCAGTGCTTCGCCTTCTTTCGCCGGACTGAATTAAAACCCGCTTGTATTCTGTTATTGGTAGTTACAGTTAGTTTTTTTACTTGCCCAGATTTATTTATCTTTGCAGAACCAGCGTTATCCTTGTCTTATGTCAAAGAACCGTAATGCTAACGTAATGCTATTTGGTTCATATTAAACACATTTCACTAGAATTGAACTAAAATAGAAAAGGTCGAAATTTTGGTTCATTTGACCTTTAATCTCTGAAATACACAACTGGGATTTATAACGCAAAAATCTGAGTTGTTTAATCTCCAAAATAAGTAACTCGCATTTATAGCGCAAAAATCCGAGTTGTTGATTTGTCAATTAAACAACTCGAATTTTTACCGAGAAATCAGAGTTGTTTAGTCTCTAAAATACACGAACTCGGACTTATAAGTCGCAAAAATCCTAGTTACTAATTTTTCAATTGAACAACACGGATTTTTTTCCTACGGAAGCTTATAGGTGCCATCCGACATCCAACATCCGACATCGGACATCCGAGATTCGACATCCGAGATCCGACATTCGACATCCGACATCCGACATCCGACATCCGACATCCGACATCCGACATCCGAGATTCGACATTCAACATCCGAGATCTGACATCGGACATCCAAGATTCGACATCCGACATTTGAAAGGATGGCCGTGATGTGTAGTTCCTGGGATCAAGGGACCTACGAAGTGAGGTTTGAAAGACCTGAAAAGGATACAACTTCGCTGCACGTTTCCTAATGAAGGAGCATACCGGGGTAATACGCATTTGCAACAATGCAAAATGATAAAAATATTAAACAAAACCAGTATAGTTCGTATTGTTTCCTTTCAAACCTCACTTCGTAGGTCCCTTGATCCCAGGCACTACACATCACGGCCATCCTTTTAAATGTCGGATGTCGAATCTCGGATGTCGGATGTCGCATGTCGGATGTCGAATCTCGGATGTCGGATGTCGGATGTCGGATCTCGGATGTCGGATGTCGGATGTCGGATGTCGGATGTCGGATGTCGGATGTCGGATGTCGGATGTCGGATGTCGGATCGAATCTCGGATGTTGGATGTCGGATGTCAGATGTGGGATGTCGGATGTCGGATGTCGGATGTCGGATGTCGGATGTCGGATGTCGGATGTCGGATGTCGGATGTCGGATGTCGAATCTCGGACGTTGGATGTCGGATGTCAGATCTGGGATGTCGGATGTCGGATGTCGAATCTCGGATATCAGATGTCGGATGTCAAATCTGGGATTTCGAATCGCGGATATCAGATGTCGGATGTCAAATCTGGGGTGTCGGATCTCGAATGTCGGATGTCCGCTGTCGGATGGCACCTATAAGCTTCGCTTCCCGTAGAGTTGTGTATTTTAGAGATTAAACAACTCGTATTTTTGCGGTAAAAATCCGAGTTGTGTATTTTAGAGATTAAACAACTCGTATTTTTGCGTTATAAATCCGAGTTGTTTAATTGACAAATAAAGAACTCAGATTTTTGCGTTATAAATCCGAGTTGTGTATTTTGGAGATTAAGCAACTCGATAAAAATCCGACGTGTGTACTTTGAAATTAGACGACTCGGATTTCTAACGCAAAAATCTGAGTTGTAGTATTAAATGATTACACAATACCAATTTCGTAACAACAAATGAGATAAAAATGTCAGTCAAAGAAAAATTGTTGATGTCCTGGATGGGCCACCGTAGTTCACACATACTCCATACAATAGGTGAGATAAATCGACAGGAAATAAACGCAAGGTTCCATGCACAGTTTCGGTTCGATTTACACAGCTTTGCTCAAAACATTCTCAGTTTCGAGAATAGTTTATTCTAAACCATAAGAATAGATTTAATTACAAGTTAAATTTTTTCGCTATTTCTATTTCACTTCTCACATTTAGTTCATTTTATCTGCCGGAAATAGCCTGTTGAGGGAGGGGAGATGTCTGTACGCAGGCTAGCCGGAAAGGAAGCCTTACAAATTAAAACGACGTTTGATCAATTCACGCTCGTGCATTCTAGTCTTATTTTAAACTTTATAGCGAAAGAACATCTGTGAGCAGGAAATAAGTCAGCACAGAATTTGATGGTCGGTGTATTTCTAAATTTCTAATCGTCCATCGTTCTGCTAGTGATAACCTAGCCGTTGAATCATTCGCTCTTCTTGCTTGTCTTATTCCGGTCAACTAAAGAAAGAGAAAGAGTTTCTGGCAAGGTTTCCAATCAAAGATTTGTGAACTCGTCTCTGGCAAACTCACTTAGTGTTAAAATATACGCTGTTATATGCACCTTATAACTTCATCTGCGCTTAACGAGTGTCTTTTGGTCCATAACTTTCATAACAGCTGCTCCACAGAATGTCACTGATAACACGTAACGCAAAAGAGTATCGAAGTATGACTGCACACAATTAATGTCACAAAATCTACCTATCGAAAATCCTATGAGAGACAGGCAAGCAAGAAATTTAACAACAAATGTTCCGAAAATTCTAGATCTCAAATCGTCTTCCGAACAGATATTTTCCAAAAATCGTCGTGGGAACGTTGTTTAGAAAACGATCAAGTGGTTATCAACTCTGGTTTTCCCACAGTAAATTGTAGGAAATAATAGAAATTCAGATTGTTTATCCATATATTTAATATACGGTGCACGATATTTTCTCTCGAAACACAATACTTTTCTCGCTGTTTGTTGCACTTTATTAAGTAACAGTTATTTAGCTATATATTTATAGAAAACAACAACACAAAGAAACGGAAAAAAAAAAGAAAGTAGGAAGAAATTATTACTCGAACCCGGCACCTTCGACTCGACGCGACTACACCTAACCACTACACTGCAGTGGTTGATTACGTAATCTGTAGTAAAAGTCTTTCATTATATTCCTTTTCCACGAAACTTCCGCCGGCAAGATGATCGCCGGCCGCACTAACCGAGCTATTAACAGTGAAAAAACAATGTAAACGCATCTTCCATGGCAATGAATGAATGAAAGAACATAATTATGCTTTTCAAAACGCCGATACACGTCCTCGTCTGCAAAGTAGGACACAAAACATATGTTTTGTTATCTCGATTTTCGCTGTTATTTTGAAGCGAATGTCAAAATCACACAAAACTCTAAGTCTAAGCAGCGAACGATGCACTCTCTCACCCACCGAACTTCCCCGTGTTTTTATTTGAGTTGTTCGTGGCGCAATGCACTCTGGTTAAATGCAATGCATTGTGGTAAAAAGTGTGGTTAAATGCAATGCATTGTGGTAAAAAGTGATGAATTTGAGAATTCGTCGCCCCTTATATATTTCCTTTAAATCCTGATTATGTTGCTGCTCGCTCCCTTCGGTCGCTCCGCAGCAACAAACATGAAACATGAATGGGCCGACGGCTGTAAGGCCAGGTCGCACAGCTCCGACCAGGTCCTCATCACTCATACTGCGCGCGCAGGACTTTTCATTTTTAATTTGCATCGATATGTTTTCTATTTTCAATTTGCAGCGCAATTGTTTCTTTGCATGTACTATATTTAATTTGCTTGCACTATTTTTAGTTTGCAGCAACATTTTTAATTTGCATGTGTGACCCTTCTGGGTCACCGTACTAAGCAATGTCCTCTACTAACTATGGTTTTACCAAGGTGTCTGCCTTGTTGAGGTGTGTAGATGCAGTCGGTGGTGTTTTGTTTTAAGATCATGTTTAAAATACATATACAGCCGACTCTCTTTAAAACGGACACCTCTATAAGAAGGACACCTCTGTAAAACGGATACCTCGAGTTGGTTCCTGCCTTTCTTTAAGACCTCAAAGAGACGGACACTTACTGATGATCCCCAGACGCAGTTAATCGATAAACCGATAATCGATATTAATCAATAGTAATCGATATCAATCATCGATAAAGAAATAAGTTGTGACTTCGATTAATATCGATGATTTTCCGATAGAAATCGATGATGATTTTTTATCGATTGTTGTCGATTTAGTTCATCGATTATAATCGATAAATTATTTTTCTGTGATTTCAATTTCTATCGATTTCCGATATCAATCGATATTAATCGGCGGATTAAATCGATTTGATCGATTAACTACTTCGGGTGATCCCTAAGGTGTCCGTCCTAGAGCGAGTTGACTGCACGTCCAAATTATACAAAAGTTAAACTGTCCATTTCACATGAGAACAGAAAAAAAAACATTTTTGAAATAAACTTCTCTGGGATTTTAAGTGCATAGCTCAAATGCATAAGGACTGGAGTTTCAAAAATCATCAGGACATAAGTGCAGATCCACCATTCGGTACTGAGGGGGGTACCCAAAGTAAGTGACTACTAAAAGTTTCGTATTCCGGTAATAATGAATGCAATAATCTTTTAACCATAATTCAAACAACTGAGTTCAATCAAGATCAAATAATGTAACATGAAATGTTTAGTTTAACCATAGCTCTCCATTGAAAACCACAGTATTTTCAACTTACATTTTTTTGGAGAAATCAGTAACTGCCAAAACTATTGACATGGACGTTACGTAAGGTCCATGAAATTTAAAGGAATTTTTTTCTCTCACAGCTGTTGTCTAAGCCCGATACAAAAAATAACAAAGGTGCTTTTTTATATGACTAAGTAACATACATCTGTGATAACAAAACCAATCAGTTCCGAAAGGACACAAAAAAATTGGATGTTAAATTTCTCATACTTCATGGATGTTACTTTTGGACGTTACATCATGACGACGCGACGGCGACAAGAGCGTCGCTTAAAAAGTGAATTTGCGTTCTTTCAGTCTTAATAGCGATTATTCCTAGCCACTTACTTTGTCAAATGTAGGTGAACCCTCTTGAAGCTGAATTTCAAGGGACCATATTCAAGCTCGGAAAGAGAAATAAAATTTCGTCGTTGCTTGTTTACATCCTCTATGAAACGCGAAATTAGGCATTTTCGCGTCCCAGTCGTGCAAAAACGGGAAAGAAATACACAAAAAAGTGTGATGCACTTGCGAAGTTGTTGTTTTGTCTATTAAACCTATTGCTTTTTTGACGTTCTCGTTGTCGGCCGCGTCGTTGGATCTTAAAGTCCCCAATAAATGCAGGAAGCTCACTAATAATTGCCTGAAAAGCCTGGTTCTAAATTAATTTGTTATTTAACAACAATAATGTATATTCAGCATTGCTGAATATTATTATGGAGTTAAAGAGAGCACTTAGAATCTTATTGGAGACAATAGCGAATTATTGTAAGGACAACATTATTAATAATTACAATAGTCAACAAAAATGCCAAGTGTAAGTTACTTCATCTTTTAAAGTAAACATATCAAATCGTCAGTATAGCTCTGTGGAAACTTTTAAATTGCTTACAGTCTCTAAAATTGAGAATAATGTGGAACTGAAATATACTCTATTTAATAGACCAAGTATCAAACGTATCCATTTTTCATCGCAATGGTTAGAAAGAGCTTGAAACCAGGCTTTTCTTTTAAAAACACCTTTTCTACAAGCAGCTTCTTTGAAATTTTAAATCATGGAACAAAAAAAAAATACATGAAGACCAGCTTAAAGATGAGTCACAAACATTTACTTGGTGACTTATGTTTTTTCGTCAAAAAGGTGAAAATTTAAAGGAACGATAAAGCCTATTTCAAAACTAATGGCCAGTATTCTATTGTTTGTGGGAAAGAAAGAAGGTACAAGGAATTTACATTTTTGACATCACTGATTTCTTTATCTTTTTTACTCACTGTAACGTCCATGATCCAGAATGTAACATCCATGACAGTGTTTTGTCATCAAGTATAGAGGGCACACATCAGAAAGGAAACATTTATCACTTTGTTATTGTGGTATCACCATTTATTTACCTAAAAAACAATATCATTTGTTTTTAGTTATGCTTGTAGAATTCACAGGAATTTAATGTTTAACATTTGCACTTAAGAACGTGGTTTCTTTGGTTGTGACATCCATGACTGCTCAATTTATTTAAATACAAATTTTTGCATAATAGTAAATTTGATGAGTTTTTCACTTAACGTGCAACTAGCACCTATCTGTCATAAACAAAGTCAAAGGGAATGGTTGGTTGTTATTATGTATCTGTTCTAATGATTTTTCTCTAACCACACTCATGCAAATGTAACGATCATGATCATGGAATGACCCAATTTATACATATCAAATTTTTCCACGAAGTCAGCCATGCGTCTCTACTCTAGTAGATCATATAGTAAATGACAAAACAAATTGCCGGGTAGATTTTAGCATTACACAGGATGAAGAGTTGACTTTGATCGTATTTGATTCGCGCCAAAGGTGTGAAAAGGGCGGTCTTGTTTTGCACATTTCGGCCATCGTACCTTTGATCTGCAAAAGTCTAGATCTGATGCGGGATCAATAAACTACAAAAGCGGTCTCCACCACCTTTAACATATCAAAGGAATAGCAAAACAGTCTTTACCACCTAAAAGCCTGTGGTTGCCGGCTTTATATTTGGTTAATTCCGCAGTAAACGAAGGCCTGAAGTATTGGCGGAGAATTTTCAAGCAACTTGTTTTGATCAATCTTTTTCTCCTGACAAACTTAGACCTTACGTTTAGCTTCATACCATATTTTTATGGACGATTTCAGTGTTAATTATGGAACAAGCGCACTTGATCATGCACCATGAAAAATTGCGCTATGTAAGGTTTAAATTACAATTGTAACGTTGTGGAAATTTTTTGCATGGCATGACAAAATAGACGAACAATTCAACAGGAGATCGAAACGGATATCCGATGACCCCCACTTGTTTTTCTGTTTATCTATCCTGATTGACTATCCGACCACGCAGAACGCGGACTAAATTTAGTCATCTCGTCTGCTGGAGAAGAATTGCCTAATGATGAGCTGCTGTTTTAAAACGCGAGCAGTGCAGTTAGAGGTCATTCGTTATCTTATCGAGTTTGTAAGACGGACAGGACAAGCAGGATGGCCGCCTTTTTGAAGTTGACTTTTTCGGTAAGTACAAGTTAACCCAATAAGCCTCATCATCCGTATGTAAATTCTCTAAACTGATCCCCAAGGATTTCCTCAAAGAATTATTTGGGAGAATTGGATAAAAGATCAAAGCATCTTCTCTTTGATCAATGATTATTTTGTTAATTATTATCACCCGTTCTTTTAATTCTTCCAGACTCATTTAAACACAGAAGAAGAAAAATGCGAGTAATGAGAAGGCCTTGTACCGCTTATAACATGCACGGAATAGATTACAGCCATTTCGAGAGAGGTTGTCGGGAAAAATGCACGCTACAATCCTGAAAGGCATTGCGGGTGGTTTTGAGTTCTCTGTTTTTCAAAGAAATTTGAAAGAATTGTCACGAAAGACCATGGAAATGTGTTTCCGAGTGCTAAAGGAAAGCAACAAAAGTAGGTTCGACAGCTACAGTCGTCAGGAACAGTTCAACAGTGTATTGATCATATCCCATATTACCTTTCGGGATTGTCGCGTGCACATTTTTTCCGACAACCTCTCTCGAAATAGATTATAGACCGCATTAGTTCTGTGTAAAAACCTAATGGGATTGCTGGTTTGCACGTGACGTCACGGCGGCCATGTTGGTGGTCAAGAACAAAAGCATTTCTTTCCTCTGGGAAAAAAAAATTCTATTGTACTGAAAACATGGCCACCTTGTCACGTGGTTGCAAACCAAGAATTCTGACGTTGTAGTAATATGTAGCCTATATCGTTTGTTTTAAATGTTCACCGGGCCACTCTCGAATACGGAACTGCAGTAATTTCAGCCCAAGGCACAATACTAGCAACGTCCTTTTTCTTTTTTATAAGAGAAACTATTTCCGAAATGTTAATGACCAAACAAACACTTAACGAACCGCACGAACTTCATGCTTTTCAGCCTTACAGTCAAGGAAGGTCAAGTGTGCCCCCAAGATTTTTTTAATGAATTGATTGTTTGGAAAATGAATCCGTTTGTCGTTCCCGTACCTGGTGTCGAATATTTTACGCGAACTTCTGTGTATTTGGTCATAAAATTTCTTCCAAAACATTTACATCAATTTCAGGGAAACTGAGCTGGTAGAAATTTCATAACTACCTCGGGAATTACGGCTCATTACGCATGCCGGAATGCAAAGATGAATATGAACATATAATTACCAACGGATTTAACCTTCGAATAATAAGTATTGGGGGTATGCTTGAACTGGTTTGACTGTAACGGTCATCCGTTCTACTAAGATGAAAACGAAAATGGCGTCCTCGATCTACCTCCTTTTTGCCTGTATGGTGAGCCGTGGCCGCTGGCAACTTAGATGTGTCGGGGGAAGTGTTTTATTTAATGAGTACGGTGAGAACAAATGGAAATTTTTAGGGAATTAATTGTGTGTTTATGACATTCTTCTTCATTTTCCTGCAGGTTTTAATTTTTTATTCATCTGTCCACTTTGTACACAGTCACCCGACACCATCTGCCAAACATGGCGGAATGTCCTTCAAATTTAGTCATGTACAGCCGACGAAAAAGGCAACGGAAGATCCTGTCAATAGCACTAGGAATCGTAATCATCACAATCTAAATTCCCTGCGTAAACTGGAACAAAAGGAGCAACAAATCCCTAGCGACAGGATCAAAAGAAACGCTACTGAGAGCATGAAAGACGAGCTTGTAAGTTCGACAAGGAGAGCGAACGGTTCTGCCACCGATGTCAGAGGAAGAAATTACCTCAACAGATCCTCAGTAAGAAGCAGAGTGAGTTGGCAAAGCTTTAGAGGAAGAAGACAGGTGACGCATTCATGTGTTAAGAGAACTGTGAAGACCTACCACGCTGCCCTGGATGAAATTGTGACTGAATATGAATGCTGGAAATCTTCGTTCTACTGTAATCAAACGTCAAGTGGATTGTATCGTTGTGAGCCTGTTATGACGTTTCATGCGGGTCTTGACAAGACCCTGACTGTTGGATGCAGGTGTAAGCCGTGATTCGAGTTTATAGTTGTAAGAACACTCAGTTATGTAATAACTAGGTACCGTAAAAGATCGATTAAGCGCCGCGGCACCTATTTTATTTTCCCTGTTATAGGTGCGGTGCTAATACGAGAGCGGCGCTTATTTCAACTACGGGTAAAACACTGAGGGAATTATAGAGAGAATTAAGTGAGGCGCGTACTACGTATGCACAATTAAAAAAAAAATATGTAGACATCGAACATATATTATATGAACCCAGTTTCAAGAGACTTTCCAACTTATTACATAGTTAGTGATGAAATACCAGGATTTTTCCTTTTACTAAAAAATCATATCTTCATCGCGCGCAGTGAAGATACTATTTTTATCTTTCACGTGTGAGGATATTAGTGTCGCCATGGTTACTAACATGATTTGATTTTGATTTTGAAACAGAAAATATAAGTATTGTCTTTATTTCTCCTTTATAACTTTATATCCGAGTTTCATAACATTTTTGTGACAGGCATTTTGCGATAGGTCACCACTTTAATTGCACTATTTTGCTGTTTCGAAAATGAATTTTTAAAAAAGTTATTTTTTATGTAGGAATTTCATCAGTGTCTATAATATAAGCAGAGCATTACATGGCCGCTTGGGGATACGAATTTTATCTTCTCGTGCTGAAAGTATCTGTCACTCGTTCGCTTCGCTCACTCGTGAGAGATACTTTCAGCACGAGAAGATAAAAATCGTATCACCGCGCGGCCAGGTAATATGCTCTATATATCAAGCGCGGTTACAAAGTTAGGGCGTTAATTTGTAAATACCCAGATTAGCGCTGCAGCACATATTCGAGAGCGGCGCTTATGAAATTATTTTCGGTACAGGTGCGACTCTTATTCGAGAAGCGGCGCTTTATCGATCCTCTACTGTATAGTACAGGATTATCTGCAAATGTAAATGTCGGCCTAGCCTCTCCACAGACGTTTTTCATTTTAAAACCGCTACCCCCACCAACACTTCAAACCTTGCGCTTGCGGTAAATAAATCCCCCGTGTTTTTTTTTCTACGCGCACTCAACGATCTCGAAAAAGAAAATAGACTCTCTGTGAGCTGGCTTATACGAGCCTCAATCGTTTCATGTAACAACACTTTAGAAAGATGCGGTCACAGTCACTTTTTTTGGCACTTCAATTGCAAATGTACGCCACAGGCCTGTAAGGCTGCGTGCAAACGGACGCAACATTGTTGACCAACATTGTTGGATGTTACATGTTGCGTGTTGTTTTCGCAAAGTTTGAAACCGGTCAAACTTTTAGCCCCGTGCAAACGGACGCAACATTGTTGGCTTACAACTCTCTACAACTCCCAACATTGTTGGGAGTTGTTGCGCCCGTTTGCACGTAGCCTAATACTTATCATTCAAGTAATTTTTTCAATAAAAAGGGATATAATTTAATCGATTTTTTGCTTGAGTAAGTACGGTTTTCGTTTTGCGGACAATGGTGACCTGGCTTCTCAGGTCCGTTCTCGAAACACCTACGATGAAATAAACCGTGCTCACGGCTTTACAAAGCTCTCGCTGTCGCTGCTTCGCTCCGAACTTTTAGAAATCTGAGGAATTAGGCAAGAAAATAAAAGACCTCTGGTACCTAGGGTAGGACAATGGAAGCCGTCAGCAGCTTTATGGTTGTAAGTTTAAAGGCGGACATGTAATGTTTCCACTTTAACTTTTTAAGGTTCCCTAGTTTTGATTCGGGAATTAATCACCAGTTCAATTCCCCTAACTATGGATGTAGAGTTAGTTTGAATTAATACATGGTGCAACTGAGACTCTTCAAGAAAAGTAGATGTTTTTATTGGAATGTTTACTTAAAAAATCTCGAAATTTAGAACCAACTTGAATGTAAATTGCTCAACATCTTGCGGTTATTGCTCAGACTCAAAAGTTTAAACCAATTCAGAGAGCGTCGATAGACATAGCCATAGGCTTAGCGTAAATGAAAGTAATAATGGTTAGTTTCCGTCCAGTTTTATATTTTCTTGATGGCCTGTTTCTAGCCTCCCACGCAGGCGTTTTTAGGGGAGCTCGTTTTTCATCCCTGGGGAGGGATGAAAAACGAGCTTCCCTAACAACGCCTGCGTGGGAGGCTAGCCCGTTTCAGGCTCCAAGATGGTAATGTGCCGTTCGCGCGGGTCTTATTTTCCCTTGTTTGTCAGTATTTTCGCCTACTATCTGAGAGCCTGGCAAAGGCTAGTGCGACTGCTAATTTGCTAGCAACCAAAGTTTTAAATAAGATAACGTATAGGCCCTCCCTTACAGAAGGCAATTTGAGGGAAAATTTGCAACCAAAGTCGTCTTTTGATTTCCTTCTTTCCAGTTAATTCAAATAGTTTCATTTTTGCAATGCAAATGTTATGCAGAAATGCACAACAATAAAACCCATCGACCGCGCGATTAATTCTAACTTAAGACATAATACATAATCTCTATGAAAGACCTACCAGTTTCGATGTAATCTTCCGGATCGCAGTCGATTGCCTCGATGTTTTTAGGACGATCAAGACTATCCGACCTATTTTATGCAAACTAAAGTCTATGTAGACCTCGATTCTAATGTATCCAGTCGATTGCGTTCGCCGCAATTATACGGATTGTCCCGCATTCATAGTTGTTGTTGTTGTTGTTTTATCTTCACGCTTTGCACCGCAAGAACTCTAGTAGTAAGCTCAAATTTCGAATAATTCCTGTGAAACTTATGGCGCTTTTCATTTACCAACAGACTCCGATACCAGTTTCAGGCGTTCGGGGCCATTTTTCGGCATCAAAGAGGAACTGATTTGTGCAAATGATAAACGCGATTCCCGGAAGAAATTTGTCAGCCCTGAATTTTGCTTTCCATTTGCTCAAACCGTGAACCGACTAGTTTTTTCAATGGAAAGCGCCCTAAAAAAACTTTTTCCTGTACCTTCTAGACCGCTTTCATTCCCCTTATCGGTGTGATTGTCGAGATTGGCGGCCGCTGTTTTATGGTGAGCAAATGGTACTCTCTTGTTTCGCTTACCATAAGAAAAAACGGCTAGTAGCGCTCTCCAACGCGCTGATAGACCTCGAAATAGAGGACTGCACAGTTTGTGTACCATCTTAATTCTTTCTGTTTACCTTTTCAGGTACTTTGACAGAGGCCTACACGGCTGGATGACAAGGTTTGGCTTGACTTATGTTTAAATCCTTGTGGTCAGCGTCACGGGTCAAGGTCCTAGCCAAAAGACTAGTAGTTCTGAGTTCTGGGGACGAGAATGAATTTAACTCTGTAGTGGCTCAGCGGATGCTTAGGGGGAGGGGGTGGGGGTCTCGTCAAAAGTTCACGAACGACAATTTTGCGTTTCACGAGTCAACAAACAAATAGTGTATTTGATCTCGGCCACCTGTATGGGTGATCTCTGCGTGGCTTTAAATTCCCTAGGAAAGCCAGCTGTAGGTGGGTCTGAAAGCACTGAAGTTACATTAAACTGAAAGACTCAAAAGTGAAGTTAAATCAAGCTGCCAGATGGCTCTTTTGGCCAAATTAATGATTTAATTTCCTCAGTTCATCTTCAATGTTCGTGTATAGCCTGCGTAGAAAGCGTTTCCTCGCGAGGTTCGTCTAGAAAGTTGGAACGAGAGCAAAAAGAAAATGAATGACGGGGGAGGGGGAGGGGAACGAAGGAACGCTTCCGCTCTAACTTTAGCGCAATAACTCGATTGGAAACGCATGCTACGCAGGCTAGTTCGTGTACAGTATAGAGAATTTTGGCAGTTCACGTTTCACGGAGTGCACCTCAATCACGATTCACAGAGCAGTTTCTCAGTACATCACGATTCACGGACACCAAAAATGGTCGATGACGGCTTCACGAAAATAAACTTGCCTTCCTCTGCTCTGTGTAGTTTAAAGCAAAATCGCTAAGGGTTGCCACACTCAGGGTAGGAAAAAGACCGTTTTTTGTTTTAGAAATCTCAGGTCAAACTCAGTTTCTCCTTATACAAAGGTTGTCAAAAGTCAGAATTTTATTTTCGGATTGCCACAAGATTTCGTAAGATAATAAAAAACATTTTCATCCGAAAATAATCTTATTTGACCAGTCTATTTTCATAATCCAAATCCTGCCAAAAAGCTAGATTTCGATGAAAAATCGTTCATAGGTCAACAAGAAATCAGCCTCTTTTTGGCTTCAGATCAGACTGCAAACTAGTCCGTCTTTTTGCTTTGGTCCAGAACGCACGTGTGAGACTTAAACACCGGTGCTTTGCGCCTTGAGAAACTGATTTTGAGAAAAAAAAACGACTGTTTTGCAGTCTAAGATAGTAGTGCCTCAATTATCATCCACGGTCGATTCACGATAGCCTGTTCCAGGCGTCCAGATAGCAGATTGCCGGGCAAAGTCAGGAGATCGAGAAAAAAATAAGAGGGAAGAGAGGGAGAGAGGAAGGAAGTTCCTTCGCTTTCACTTCCTGCCCCACTTCCTCGTAGTTTTGCCTGCTTACATCTCTTTTCGCCGTCCGCGCAATCTGATCACCTGGAACAGGCTAGGGTTGGGCTGTGTTCCAACTCTTACCGTACAATGAAATACAGTCCAATTGATTGACCAATCCCAGCTCGCGTACTAACCTAGAAATAAAATATCTTTTTATTGGTTTTAGGTATATCTACATTCCAATGGGAGGGTCCCGTAAGGGCGTCATTCGTCAGCTCACGGGCTCGTTTCTATCGTTTGCATTTATATGGCAGTGGCATGGAGGTCACCTGTACGCGCTTTGGTGGTTCATTCCTAATTGGCTTGGTGTAGTGGTAGAAAGCGGAGCAGGAAAGGTGTTGGCGCATCCGTCTGTAAGGCGTATGGAGGTTGGTGTTAAGGACCGGTCTTTATTTATTGTCCGGGGGGCGGGGCGGGGTATTTTGGGGGGATCACTCGACGTTTAGGAGAACAAAAGGGGGGATCAGTCGTAACTGAGAACCCGAAAGGGGGGATCACTGGAAACTTTGGAAGGATTCAGAGTGGGGACCACTCAAATTTGCTTAGAAAATGAAGACATGGGGTGGGGTCGCAAAAGTCATCAAATATTAGTCGGGGGGGTCACTTCATTGAAGTAACATTTAAAGGGTAGAACGGCTAAATTTCACCTTTCACCTTGTTTAGCCTCAAATCCTCCTCCTCCTCCTCCTCCCCCCCCCCCCCACCCCAGGAGATAAATAATGAAAATAATGACCAGTCTCTTATATCTTGAAATACCAAATTTACAGTTCTTCAACTACTGAAAAACAACAAGTACCGGTAGGAATCACTGCAAAACAGTCATAGTGAAATCTTTGACAGGACAATGAGCATCACAGCGTTAAAGGGGCTTTGTCACCGCATTACATTGCAGTTTGAGGTCCATTTGTGCTGAAATCACTGCTTAGTGCCCTCACCCAAAATACCGCTGTAGAGTTAGGTATGAAGTAGATATGAAACAAACTTCATCAGGGAGCACTAACCATAATGATTTTCTGGTGGTTTAATCTTGAAAAACAAAGCCGGGCCATTATTTTTGGAAGTCAGTTGATGCAAAAGAAAGTTTTAGCTTTTTGAAACGATAGCAAATAGCGTGACCAAGCCTCTTTTAAAATTATCTCCCGAAGTCTCATAAGTAATGAATTGTTTGTTTGTGTGTTTGTTTAGGAGAAGCTTTCTCCAGCTGCCTCTCGCCGTATTCGCGCCATATTTGGTATAGTTTCACTCACGTGCTTAATCCTAAGTAACTTGGTGTTCCTATGTGGAAGTGATCCTGTATGGTTCTACGTTAAGAGAATCTTCGTTTTTGGTAAGTTTGCAGGGGCACCCAACGGGAAATTTTGAGAAAAAGACCTAAAAATAACAAAAAAGCGTGAATAAAGTTTTCTGAGACTATTTTAAGCATTTTGGGAGATTGCTGGAAAAAAAATTATCTGTTCCTCACTCCCAGCAAGACTAATGGAAGAGTTCCCAGCCAGCAACCTTACAACCTGCAACCTGACTTATGGGAAGTTTCATAGGGCACAATTCAGATCTCGAGTGGTAAGTAACCCATACAAGTAACCCGTAGCAGCTATTCTAGACTTCAAATCCCCTCTGACACCCTGAATTATCTTCTTCCCAGCATCACTTTCCTTCCAAAGACTACTATTTCTTCCACATCTCCCAGCCAGCAAAAATGTGCCTGAAGAACAGATATTTTGAGGAACAGATCCATTGGGTGCCCCTGAGTTTGAGATACATTACAGTCAAGCCAGGTCAGGCGTACCCCACAAGATGCCATGACTTTTAGGCCGGACGTTTTGAGGTCATAAAGTTCCCCTTAGTGTTTGCCTTTTCGCTGTTTCAAAACAATGTGATTTTTCATAGTCACTTTAGTAAAGTGCAAAGCACCATATCGCATGTTATGCGAAACTTTTCACAGTGCATATTAAATCGTTTCTCGATCTTAGTTACTGTCTGTGATTCTATTCTGCAGGTTGGCCGTCGTCAGCTCTTTTACTTCTTTTCTCTATGTACATGATTGTCCAGACAAACATGGAGCTCAACAGACACATTTCTCAGTGGTGACTGGCTTTTTAACAAATTTTCAAACCCCGGAGGGCCATAACAATTTTCAAGTACTTTTTGACTTTTCAAGTTACTGTCAAACCTCCCGTAAGCGACCACCCAAAATGCGAAGATTCAGCAGTCGCTTACGGCAGGTGGACGCTAACCTGTGTAGCAAGCGTTTCCGTGCCGTTTAGGAGCAAAGAACAAGAGCGAGAGCCAAAGACCGCACGAAAACTGGGGCGAAACCAAGATGCGGCCAAAACCGAAAATCCCATTCCTTTTCGTCCCTCGGTCTTTCTTTGCTCCGAAACCACACGGAAACGCCTGCTACGCAGCATATACGGGGTCGCTTACGGGAAGTGGTCGCGAATCTACCCACAGGGGTTCCTTCCTAGAAGACGCCCAAACACATCTACGTCTTGAGATAGAATGTATTACACTCAGTTTCTAAGCTACGATATTCGTGGCTTCAGCCAAAGACCGCACGAAAAATGGGGCGAAAGCAACATCCGGCTAAAACCGAAAATCCCAGTCCTCGTCGTTCCTCGGTCTTTCTTTGCTCCGAACCCACACGGAAACGCCTGCCACGCAGCCTACGGGGTCGCTTACGGGAAGTGGTCGCGAATCTACCCACAGGGGTTCCTTCCTAGAAGACGCCCAAACACATCTACGTCTTGAGATAGAATGTATTACACTCAGTTTCTAAGCTATACGATATTCGTGGCTTCATGTTGTGAAATACATACAACAAACATGGAGATGAACATATGCCTTAACTGGTTGCTTACCAGAGGATGAAAACAGGGAATACCTTAAACCGTTTATAACTTGGTCGGGGTCGTTTGCTGACGAGAGGTGGTTGTTTACAAAAGGCTCCAAAGGAAAATTCTGGTGTTTTGAATATGTGGTCGCTTATCGGAGAGAGGTGGTCGCACATTGAGGTTCGACTGTATTTACGTATACTTTTTGAGTAAATCCTTGCCTTTGGTATTATAAAGTGATTATAACAACAACGAGGAAAAGACTGAACAAGCCTTTCATAAAAATAGGAAAAACATTTTGTAAAAATCGCCTGTTTGAGGGGGGCGTAAGGGGGGTACGAATACCGCAATACCGCACATGGTAGCGCGAGAATACCGCAATACCGCATCAAAATTTAGCCAAATACCGAAACCGCAGTTACAAATGGGAAAAAGTTGACGTTGTCAATACTTAAAATCCTCCTTTCAAATAGAAATAATACTTTTATGTCAGTCTTTCCAAATTATGATGCGTCGATGTCAAGCGTACGATAAACATAAGATCATCCCCCTCGTTTAACTTTGTTCATTACATGTATACGTTTACATAAATGATACAACAGGAGTTTTCTAGCATTACTTTATATATTACTGACCTAGATCATTAACGGACGGTAAACAGTTGACTCTTATGAGGTTGTTTCAGATTCACAATTAACCCGGTTCTTTGTTGAGGATTTCAAAACGTCGACCCGGGCTGCCTTTGGGATTCGAAGGGCACACAGCACACACTAGCCTGCGTAGCGTGGCGGTTTTGGTTGGGCGCGCTAAATAATAAAGGCGGGCGCGGGCAAGGAGATTGGGACGGGAGCTGCTAAGCCGCTCACAGTCGTGCTGCCGACAAAACCACGTAAAACTGCCATGCCCGGAGGAGTACTTGGGTTAATTTTTGCTTGGTATGTGCCACTGGCCTCTCAGAGCCTCTACCCCATTATAGTCTATTCAGTGCCCAATTATAGACCCCATCTTAGTCATTTCTGGACAAATATTTAATTTTCGCGATCCCAGCTTAGTCACTTCCTATTTTAATGAATTGACCATTTTTTAGATTGAATGAAGAACACTTTACTTTTCATCTACAATACAAACATTCTGGTATGTTTGCTAACCGTAAATATGAAGAACTGTCTTGCCCCAAAAGAGCAGAAAATGTGCGACCCCATTCTAGTAACTCTCTGAAAATGCGACCCCATTATAGTCAATCCAGTCGTGAAAATTAATGCCACCCATCCAGCGGCACATCCCCATTAGCCTCTTATAAGGAAGTACCCCCGCCCCCCGGGCCCCCATGCTACGTAGGCTAAGCGCACACGAATACTTGTACATTCTACATTCCTGCATGCACAACGAGAAGGACGAGTAATAATTTTTAGACCACACCATCTTCATAGATTATCTTTCGACACTACGCAATTTATAACGACCTCACTGACCTCACTATTTGCTGGAATATCTGACTGATCACTCAGTTGACCCTCTGGATCGCTCGCCATTGTTTTACGACCGGCACGAAAGTGGCGGTAAGATTGGTAAGGAGGTTAACCAAGCTGACTACTTCCACAAGGTCCATGAGGTTATATATAATGTGACATGTTTACGTATCATTGGATAAAAAAGTCAATGACGTTAATCGTATCAAGTATTAACTGAAATTACAAGCCATACGATTTGTCTGGATCCCCGACTGTGCAACTATAGTATGGTTTAAAAAACCGTTCAAAATTATTCTGTATGGTTTAAAAAACCGTTCAAAATTATTCTGGGGTATTTCCGACCTCGGAAATACAATTCACGGGATCGGAAATGAGTAAGCGGGGTCGGTTTCTTTACTTACCAATAACGGACCCGTAAACACACTTAATCTCGGGATCGAAATTCAATTCACGGGGTCGGAAGTGATTTAGCCATCGGGGGTCGGGTTTCTGCGTCCCCGAAAATAGACCTTAATCTCGGGTTCGAAATCTAAATTACGATCTCCGGATTCATTTCTTACCAGCGGCCCAGGAGTTTCATTTCTGATGTCTGAAGTCCTACCGGCAACTGGACCCTTATTCCTGCTATCCCAAACCCACGCTCACATCGCTAGAAATCCCAGTCCGGATTTTTCTGATTTCCGGCCCCTCGAAATGTCCATGGTTGCGTCCGCCGAAATATCTTTTCAGTCCTGATTCCATAATTAAACAAAGGCTTTGATTCAGCACTCACTATATAGCGCATGTATAGTTTAATAAAGAAAAGTATATCAATAAAATAATAATAATAATGATAATAATAATATTATTAACAATAATAACAATAATGTAATAATGTAATAGTAATATATAGTAATATTATATAACAACAATTAATATTAATAATGATGATGACGATGTCATTCTTTTGAAATGATTTACTGGTCATAAATTCATTTTTAGTGCTATTAAATATACACATTTTAAGTTGTGTATTGATATATGAAGCAGCCAAATTTTTATTTCATTTAGTTTTTGCTTTCTCTTTGTTTCAAATTAGCATACGTTATCTTAGCTAAAAACTATGGAAAATGAAAATAAACTGGAAATATGAAATAACTACAACATGATTATATATTACTTGTACTTTTACTCATTTACAACTTTTAAAACTTGCATCCCCACCACCCTCAGTCTTTTTTATATATACTGGTTTATTTGCCAAGCACCGTATGCATAGATGGGTTGGTTTTGATTTGCAGATAAAACTGACAGTTATCACTAACTATTTTAGCCTTGATTACTTTTAGTTTATAACGTTTTTTGTCAAAATTAATTAAGTTACAGTGTGTATTTCGATAATTTAGGTCTTGGTTAATTTACTTGTTTGACTGCTTCATATATAAATACACAACTTAAAATGTGTATATTTAATAGCACTAACAAATGAATTTAGAACCAGTAAAGCATTTCAAAAGAATGACATCATCATCATTATTAACATTAATTGTTGTTATATAATATTACTATTTATTACTATTACATTATTACATTATTGTTATTATTGTTAATAATATTATTATTATCATTATTATTATTATTTTATTGATATACTTTTCTTTATTAAACTATACATGCGTTATATAGTGAGTGCTGAATCAAAGTCTTTGTTTAATTATGGAATCAGGACTGAAAAGATATTTCGGCCGACGCAACCATGGACATTTCGAGGGGCCGGAAATCAGAAAAATCCGGACTGAGATTTCTAGCGATGTGAGCGTGGGTTTGGGATAGCAGGAATAAGGGTCCAGTTGCCGGTAGGACTTCAGACATCAGAAATGAAACTCCTGGGCCGCTGGTAAGAAATGAATCCGGAGATCGTAATTTAGATTTCGAACCCGAGATTAAGGTCTATTTTCGGGGACGCAGAAACCCGACCCCCGATGGCTAAATCACTTCCGACCCCGTGAATTGAATTTCGATCCCGAGATTAAGTGTGTTTACGGGTCCGTTATTGGTAAGTAAAGAAACCGACCCCGCTTACTCATTTCCGATCCCGTGAATTGTATTTCCGAGGTCGGAAATACCCCAGAATAATTTTGAACGGTTTTTTAAACCATAATTTCCGACCTTGTAAATACAATTCACGCGGTCGGAAATGAGTAAGCGGGGTCGGTTTCTTTACATACCAATAACGGACCCGTAAACAGACTTAATACCGGAATCGAAATTCAATTTACGGGGTCGGAAGTGATTTAGCCATCGGATGTCGGGTTTCTGCGTCCCCGAAATTACGACCTCCGGATTCATTTCTTACCAGCGGCCCAGGAGTTTCATTTCTGATGTCTGAATTCCTACCGACAACTGGACCCTTATTCCTGCTATCCCAAACCCACGCCCATAACGAACAACGAGGAAAAGACTGAACAAGCCTTTCATAAAAATGGGAAAAACATTTTGTGAAAATCGCCTGTTTGCCGTGACTTGCAATGTTCTCTCGCGCAGGTGTTTTGAATTTCCATGACATCATCTCGTTGCCGCGCAATCAGAGCGGGAAGGGAAAAGTTTCAATGTATTGAAGGGAAAACGTCATGGCAGGCGAAAATAATTGCCTTTAGTTGTTGTTCAGTCAGTTATAACCGCTTGGTTTTCATTTCTAAGATTTGTGACTAGGCACTTTGTATTACTTGTCATAAATTGGAGTAATATATTCATTTTTTTCCTTTTCGTGAAAGGAAATCAGTGGTGAAATGTACCATACCAGTCATCATTCCGACAGGAAGTCGTGATCTTTGTTACCCCGGATCCAACGTCGCTAATAGTTAAGTACTGTGTTCCGTTTTATCCGCTCTGACGCTAATAGATAATTATTTGTTCCGTTGTGGTCAATAATTATGATTCAGCACGAGGTCGGTTTTTTGGCCGCACTATATAGCGTCGTTAATTAAACCGTGCAATAAATCAATCTTTCTCTCTGTAAACCAGTGATAGGTCAGTACATTCTAATCCAACATGTACCACTTAGATCCATGGATCCATACAAATTGCTCTTGACTAAACCTTCATCTGTTTCAATCACGCTTATTCTTTTAAAAAGCGTCTTTTTTGTAGTATTTCTTGCCATCCAGCGGAGACGGCGAGTGAGGGAAGAGCCGTTTAGTTCAGGAGACGGGTAAACGGTGACCTGTTTAATCTTCAAAAGAAAAAAAAAAGCTACAGGCAGTAAGTCGTCAAAAAGACATCAGCTTTTCGAAGCCACACTTGACCTTGGCCTTTGGTAGAGCGGGGAACCGGGGAGAGGGAAAAGCGAAGAGCATGTTCACAGGCTAGAAAATAGGTGAGGTGTTATTTGGTCGAGATAAGTCTATAAGACTGCTTAATTTAAGTGGGGGCAAAGCAAGGCCCCCACCCCATCGGTCGGTCGGTTTGCCTCTTCCCATTGCTGCCAGTTTAAATAATGATGATTGAGAACGGTTGGTTGCTCTTGTTGTAATTTCCATAAATCGCGTGAGAGGAAATCGATCATTGCCTATATGAATTACTTTGTAGCAAACATAATTGATCTAAACAGTCAAACCGTTTAATATCAATAAAAACATCACAAAATCCTGGTGAAAATGGTCAAAGTATATTTTCATTGTCGCAAACATTTTGAAATGTTTCCCACTGACATTTAAACTATCTGGGCGGATTGTTACTGAGTGTAAACAAGAAATTAAAATTGCCCCTAATGTAGAACTTCAGATATGTATAGGTGAGGCAATAATATCAACATAAGGCGCACAATCACTTCCGTAAAGGGCAACCGTCACCGTCAGCTATAAAGCAGTTATAAGTGGCTTAAATAGAAAGGGGCATACAGGTGGATCGATTTTTACGCCGGGCTAACGGTTAACGGTTAACCGCATTGAGACCCTTCCAAATGTTCTTCAGTTCCCATATGAGTATATCTTTTGTAGTACTCAAGTTTGATAACTTTTCGGGGGAATTTTATCATAATGATGTTCCCGTAGTTTAAACAACTGTTTAAAATTGAAAGCGGCTATGATTTTTTTTGTAGAGGTATGGCAGAGACACTAAAAGTCGGTTATCTAAGCAAAAACTAACTTAGGCCGCGGCTTTAATTGTACCGATATGCTTTCATGAAATTTGGTCATGATTAAAAGAAGTGTTTAGATATCAGTGTTGAGCACACTGAAATCAAGGCCGCCGGTTTTGAGAGCCAGCCCTTTTAGAGACGCTAAAATGGGTTTTTAGTACCACCACTTCGTAGCCTATTACACAATTTGACACAAGTAGTAACAAGTGTTTTCATTTTGTTTTCGTTTGAGCCTTAACAGCTCTGTTTAGAATGGTAATTTCATGCAGCGCCGGTAGTTCAGGAAGCCTCTTTCCAATGCCGGATATTATGTGCGCACTAATATAAGCGCGTCGGGCGTTCCGGTGAGTAAGCGGTAATGTTTGACAAACCAAAACGTGACCATTTGATAACGGGAAGTCGTGTACTTTTTGATAATTTGTTAAGATAAAAACCCTTTCTGAGAGCAAATATATCAGTCTTCTCTTTCGTATACAAAGAAACTTTTTAAATTAAAGATAGACACTGTGACAGTTGAAAATTCAACAAACAAGCAAGTGCCTGTAAAACTTAATTAGGTCATGGTCTTAATCAAACGTAATATTTGCCTCGTCATACTTTGCCGATATTCATTTCTGTCGATTCCAACAAAAAGTAGAATTGTAAGAGTAACAAAAACACAATAACGGAGGGGGTGATGAATATGTTTTCCTTGATTCTCTTGAAATTGAAATGTTTCGATGCCAACTGCAAACTGCTTAAAGTGGAACGCATCGTCATGTCAGTAAAATGTTACGCCCACCACAAAAGGCCGCATAGGAATGAGGAAAACAGACGATTATTGATTAAGCAACAAGGAAACTAATATAAGTAAAGCCTTAACGTTCTTGTGGAGCACTTTTACATTCGCATGTTCTGAAGTGAGCAAAGGTGGACTCAGATAGCACTCTTCAGCAGTGTCAAGATGACTTACCCAACGGTTCTGACTGTTATATTTGCAAGCTTCTTGTGCTCCACTGCCGCAGATAAAGGCCTTCATTTGAAGGGTTATTCCGAGGGCGGAGTTGAAGGCTGTTACGAACACAGTCAAGAGTTGGCAGTTTGCTTTGATGTGAAGAAAGATTCCATGCTCATAAAGAAGGCCTCGGGAGAAGGAATTGTACATTACCAGGAACTCGGTCCAGATATGTTTCTTTACCAAGTGTTGGATGATGCTTTTGTCGGGTAGGCTCAACTAGCATTCACGTTGTATCGTTTAAGATATTGTATCAGTATCGGCTACCTAAACTTACATTGCATAATTTTCTGTTTTTTGTGCATTTGACATTTGGCTCAATAAACAAGAAAATGACGTGCGAGCTACATCACGTTGTGTACATCTCAAGTGACTACATCGTGAGAAAAACACTGACTTACTAGGCTATTTTCAAACGGCACCGGACGAATTTTCGACTGGTTGAAAGTTCGTACGTTTGGGAGTTCAGTTCACACGGAACTACCTTAACCGTACGAATATTTAGACGCCTAGGCGTTCAAAGTTCCGTGTGAACAGAGCGAAAATATTGAAGCGCCCTGTGTGAACGAGATGTCCGGTGAAATTTTTTAGCTGGTCGAAATTTAATTCGTTGCCGTGTGAAGTTAGCCTTATGATACTTGTATATGCTTCCCAATCTGCTGGATAGCTCATTAAGGCCCCGTTCAGACGAATCTGGGCAGTCTGAAACCGCATACTAATATTAATAATTCTTAGGTTGTAGGCACTTTTAAAGGAGCTGTGTCACAAAATTCAGCCAAATTAGGAAATTACAAAATGCCCATTAGATTAAGAGAAACAAAAAAATAACCGCTCAAAACTTTAAAGGAAGGTTAAAATAACATAACAGAAACAACAGATGCCACGGATGGGCGAAACTGAACAAGATTGACACCGATTGAAAAATAGGATTTTTGAAAACTGTTCAGCCTAACAGTTTTTCAAAGTTGATCCCTGCTGCTTGCAACTCAAATATAATGCTCAGGAGACATATTTGTCTCGGATCAGTCTGATTTTGTCATTTACATGTGATTTCTTTGCTTACTTTAAGTTCCATAGCCATTCTGGGCGAGTAATTCGCAAAATTAAACAAAATGAACTGGACTGCCGTGACACAGTCCCTTTAAGTTTATTCCCGGATAGGTGATGTTCATACCTCACCGCCGGATAGCTTTTCGTGTCGTCGTGAAGAGCTATCCGCAGTAAAGTGTGAACATAGCCTTAGTTTTTGCTCTACAGTTGATTTCACTGTAGAATACTCCGCCTAAATGCAAAGTTATTAGGATGATAAAAATGCTTGCCTGGTATATTAGCCATGAGTTTGCTCAGGGTGAGTCTTCGTATTCAGCGATCAGAGCGCTCGTCCGGTATCTAGGAAACATTTTATGCCTTTTAGTTTTGATTTGTATCTATGTGTGTTTCTCGCCGCAGGCGTGGCTCAGCAATCTTCTATGTCCCAGATGACGTTCCAAAAACGCCTGAAGCGCTGAGATCCTTTTTGAGAGACATATCGGATGATGAAACTTTAGAACATGAAACCTTGAAAAATCACTATCAAGCAGCCATGAGCGAGTTGCACTACGTCCCAGAAATTCAGCTGCTGGAGCTAGTGTCAGCAGCATTAGCAGACAACTCCACCCGTCTGGAGCTGCTCCAACCATTCCACGCCATGTGCTTTAACCTTTTTAAGGCTACAGGCGTAAAGGTCAAGGATGAGTTCAGAGCTGCGCATGACATGGGCGATGAGACTGCTGATCAGCATTACCGAGAAAAGCGCTGCTCACGACCAAAAGCGAATACATGTCGCGGAATGTGTGGTCTAGGATGTTGGTGTTGGAGCTGGTTTTGTGGCGACTGCTGTTTGCATAGGGGCTGTTACGAGCACGACATATGTTGCAACTATGGTCGTTTGACATCATATTGTGCCACCCCCTTCCGATACGGTTTCACATGCTCCAAATTCGGGGGTTATCCAAGGTGTAAAAAACGCAAATCATGGTGGGGTTAAAACTTGATTGAAGGGCATGCCAAGCTAAATCATAAAGTGTTTTTAGCATAAACCGTAAAAACTGCGCGAGCTTAAGCTAAAGCAACTAAAATAAGCTTTAGGTATATAACAAAAACGTCCATTTTGATTTTCAGGAGAGAAATAAAAGTTGGTTTGTTGACTATTTTAACTTAATTCTGTTACACGTTCATATTTGGGAAATTTTACTGAGTCTTTTCTTGGAAGACATACACACTAATAGTTTTAGTACAGCTGTTTTTTTTCTTTAACAACGCTCTTCGACTCTTCGAGATCATAACTATTAATAAATTATGAAATCACATTGATAATCACATTAAGTAAAGTCTCTCTTTGCGCGTTAATTTACCGCTAGTCCTATGTAACCCCGCCATACGACTGTCTTGACCATACGAACCCTTGACTAACGTTATTACAACCTCGTGAGAAGAGTTTAATCAGGGGAGGAGCGCTGGCTCATTTCCAGAACAGCGGCTGGTAGCCGGTACCTATTGCAAGTTGTTCGAACTTACATACCTACTTTATAATCCTCAAATAAACTCTGCATTCTACTGATTGGGTGTGACGTTTATTCGAGGGCGAGGTTTAATCGAGTAAACAAGGTATTTCATTGAGAAAACTTTGTAAATTACAAATCATATGCCGTAAACTTATACCCACAAATTTCATAGAACTTATCTTTCATGGTTTAGACTTTTTAAGTGAAAACGGTTCTTTCAATGGAATTTTAGTCTGTTCAGAATCAAAAGTTTCCAATTATTTGTTCCAGTCGTGCATTTTCCCTGCAGTTCGTGCCTGATCACGAGAGTCTACTTTCTCGGGATTTTTCGGGGATAGGGAACTATAAGATAGAAGAAATATTACGAAGGGAACAAGGGTTTGGTTATTTTGTCCAAATTTTTTATATATAGTTGTTTGGGTCTCAGTAACCGACAATAAGACTGAGCCATTAAAGGCTACAGAGATAAAAGTTTAAAAACATTGTTTCTGGAAACAGAAAATCTTTATTTTTGATTGTTTGAGTTTATTAATTTCTTATCGCTCCAACATGTAGTGATTTCATCGCCCAGAAAGACGCGACATATCCAAGGATAAAAGCAAACTGTCCGTTATAACGAGATGTCCGTATTAAGCGGGTGTCAGTAAAGCGGGATTTGACTGCATATAGTCTGTGTGGAAGAGGCATGAGAAATATGGGCAGTGCGAGAGCGATGCCCTCGCGGGAGGAGGACTTGCGCGCGTTCTCGACCTCCGTGGCGGTCAGTGCCACCGTAAATTTTTTTGTGACCTAAATTTCTCGTGCGCGTGTTACGTAGGCTAATATTAATATTACCTACCCTGTTTACATCCTAAAAGTACTTGAAATTAGTGTACTGGGTTTATCATGGAATAAAGCATGAATTACATCAATACTGGTTATTCGCTGCTTTCACATTCCCATAATACACCTTGTTTACCCCCCAAAAAGTTTTGCGTAAGCATTGTTTCCAATCTCTTTAGAGATTTACAACCCTCCCAAGAGAACTTGAAAACAATACTAATGCAAACTTTTGGGGGATAAACAAGGTGTATTATGGTTAATGTGAAAGTAGAAATTGCCAACGAGCAGCTTCGCGATGACGCGAGGCTGCGAGGCTGCGAGGCGGCAGCATAATAGAGCCGTGCGCGAAAGTTCCAAGGCAGAATGAATCTCGAAGCGATGTAACATAAGCTAGTGTAAGGTAACTCTTATGAAGTAATGCAGAACAGAGAATGTAAGAAAAATATGCTATGTAAAGTCAGTTTTTCAAATTCTTTTTGCAGCAGAACAGTTTAGTTCACCATTTTCAAGGTAATTTTTGGTCATGCAATCGAATTTAGCTCAAAATGTTTTACCCTGCAAATACACTGCCTGCTTATGCCGCTAAATTACGCCGCAAAATTTACTGTGTCTTTGAAGCAAAATAATTCGAAAGGCTTCATTGGCGCACCATAAATCTTTTTTTTCCTGAAAAGTCGACTTCCTAAGCTTTAAAAAGAGACCATATATGCAGCTATCAATGTTATGCCCGAGGGGTAGGGGGGGGGGCACGGGATACGGTGGGGACTTTGATCAAAAACAAAAATTGGGGGTCAAACTTCCCAACTCTTGGGATATGATTTCAGTTCAAAGTTACCCACCAGGGAGGGAATTTCAATCCGACTGAGGTAAAGAATATGTGCTTGCATTTAACAAGTCTTTTTCATAGCTAGCGGTGCTCCGTCCACAGTAGTGGCGAGTTCTGCTCTCTTTAAATATATTTAATATACCCAAAAAAACCTCGAAAACAAGTTTCTAGTTGTTTTTGTTTGTTTAATAACAGAAACTCAGGTGATGAATTCACAAACCCTGAAAATATTACCACTCTGACTATTCTAGAGCCATGTACAAGCGTTCCAGTGTTTCAATTAAGAATCTCAAATTTCATTTCGATTGCAACAATGCGAAAGTTGTTATTATTGTTCCTTTTGCTGCAGATCGATGTGAAAGTAGTTGTTTAAAATCACATCAATAAAAAGGACCGATGGTTGTTAACGGAACAAATTTAAGAGGTTAAATAATCTCACCTTCCGTTTGTCCTTTTTCTTCCACCTGGAAAGCACGATCGAGATTCCGGGAATTCTGGGTATTTTCAAGATGGCGGAACACTCGTATCCAAGCTCCCAGCATTCAAAATACAGGTAACTAAGTCGTCAAACATCGTTCAAACTAATAACGGGGAAATCTGTGACCGTAAATCTAGATCAGATTTGTAGACAATCACTGATATCGAGAGTGATTATTTGTCGGAAACCCTTTCAGGACGACCTAGCGTACAAGACAAGACAAGACATTTATTATCGTAACATTACAAGTACAATTGTTTGACAAGCAGTTAGCAAGAAAACGCTAGTCGAGGAGTGCCAAATTAATTCTATTACAAATCAGATATTATATTATAATAAGTAAAAAGCAAAAAAAAAAAGAAAAGAAGAAATATGTGTAATGAATTCAAAAGCAAGAAAGACTTTTCGTTTTCTTTTCTAAGTTTATCCATCGGTTTCTTCCGCTTTGCTTTAAGTTTTAGTAATAGAAATTTAACAGAGATTTACACCGAACTAGAGCTCAAAAATAGCGCGACCTACTCGCTCGAAGGCCATGCGCAAACTCATTTGACTCTGATGCTTCAGGTAGATTTTCAGTCTTGGTGGCTTTATAGATCTTTATACCTTGCATAAGTTCAATACCGCTGGCATAGCCAATCAAAACACAGGATTTCCTTCATCCCGCTTGCTCGCGGAAGCAGAAACATGATAGAAGAAGCTCGGTTGTCGCTTCACTCCACCCGAAAAGTTGCGAGGACCGGAAATGCTTCTGCGTTAGTATGCTATGGGAAACTCCATGAACAATAATGTTCCTATAGAACTTAATGAAATACTTTAAAACCCTTGAAATCATTGAGAAACTGTCTCTGAATAAATTGAATCCAACAATAATCATCAGGCACGAATTGCTTTCTAAAACACGCACGATAACCAGCGATAACGAAAATTAAAGACGAAACCTGTAACATCGATCAGAAGCATCAGCTAGAGTAACAGCAAAAATCATAGTGTTCCGTTACAGCGCTCAATCATGGTGATTTTGGGCGTAGGTAAGAAGCACGTGCTGGCGTAAGGAAGTCAAAGCACGTATAATAAATAAATGTGATCGGCGAGATAGGATGCTGCTATACTGTACGGCTCAAACACATTCAAGCAATCAGAACAGGCTTCGCAAGAAACTGATCTATGACCATGTTAACTGGAGCATTTTGTCTGTTTCCCGTTGCCGCTGTCGCCGTTTTGTGTTCAATGATGACAATCTCTTGTTCTAAACCAACTGGAATTCGCTTGGATAGTTTCTCCGAAGGCCACATCAAAGGCTGCTACATCTTTAATCAGACCCTTGGTGTTTGCTTTGAGGTTGAAAAGAACTCAATAAAAATAGCGAAAACAAGCGGAGAAGTGATCGTCCATTATAGGAAACTAGGTCAGTATATGTTCTTCTACCAGATTTTGGATCAAGGATTCATCGGGTAAGTATGGTAATCTCGGTTTAATCTATTACTCTAAGACCTCGTTTACACAGGTCCAGACAAATTTTTGAACGGGCAAAAACTTGCCCGTCGGATAGATCCACCTTTCGTTTACACGGGACCCGCGGAACCGAGCGAGTTTTTGAACAACAAACAGTACTGTGACTCAGTAACGGCAAAATTTATAAACGGGTTGCACGGGTAAAAAATTCGTCCATTCAAAAATTTGTCCGGAACCGAACGGGGTCTGAGTTAAACTGTATTTAACGTTGACTAATATATATATCAAGAGAAAACCTGTTCAACAATAAAAATACATGCAATCAACAACCAAAGAAAGTTTTGACCTTGGATTAACTTTAATCGTACTCCGCATTCTGATCAATTATTTCATTTGTACTATTTTTACTGTTCTTATAATCTAAATCATAACTATAACAAAATTCTCTAATCTAATTGGCTATTAGCAGTCCTGATTTCAACATTTCTGGATACCAACATTGTAATACTGAGGACAGTACAAGTCATGTTTATAAGACTATAGGTAAATGGACAGTAGGCGCCATCGCGCGTGCTCATGTCCGGAAAAAAACTCTCGGGAGAACTTGTCTTTTATTTTCAAAAAGCTTAAATTATCACAATTTTTGTTATAGTTATGATTAATAATTGGTAACAATGCTTCGTGTCGTCCAATTCGGGTCTGTAAATTCAGCCCGTGATTAAAACAAATCGGACTTCCGCTACGCGATCGTCTGATTGTGTTAATCACTCGAATGATAACAAACTCCCATTACCTCTCCCCTCCACAGAGGACTCTTTGTGTTGTGGGGAGGCGAGGCTGGAGAGAAAGAAAAAGAGAGCGCGGGGGGAAAATGGGCATCGTCCCCCGTGTGCGTTTTCATTTTTTTTTTATTTTTTCGATTATTGCTATTTTTATAGGGATCACCTAGCAGGAGCCTCCGCGAGCGAGAGAGGTCCTATTACCATTATTTATCCATAAACTTGTGATAAATAGATACTTCCTGCTGTCCTGAATTCGGTCTGAGACATATGCCTCGTATTTGATTTGTTTCTACACGCTTTATTAACATGCATGTTTACAGCTTTAAAATATTCCGCAAAGTTTAAGTTTCAACGTACCCAAACTTTTTCTCTGTGGATTTCCAGGAAATCGATTGCATTTTTGTTTTCAGAAACATTTCTTGGGTTGTTTTGTCGTGTTTTCCACTGAATTCATGCAGTAGATATATATTTTTGCACATTGTTGATCAGATGATTTGGTTGTTGGGTTTGTGACTCCTTCAGACGTTTACTATAAACGTTCTTGATGAATATGATTCTGTATAGTTGGGATTTTTGTCCTTGTTTTAATCGATTTACTGAAAAGTTGATTCAGGGTCATCTTTCTTGAAGACGCCTAAAATAATGTGAGGAAGTTTTAAATACTTTATGGTTTTTACATTGCTCCTCTTGTGTTATTTTGACTGGACAATTCCCCGGCTTCGCAGCGAAATTTATAGGAAAGAAAAAAATGTTTTTGCCAAACAAATAACTCGTAATTTTATGCTACTTAGCCTTGCACAAGCGTTAATTCGAGCCAGGTGGATGGGCCTGCTGATCACCATACATTATTCTAACTTGATTTGGATTGTTGGCTAAAAACTGTAAAATCATGATGTGCGACAGCGATAGCTTTATATTAGAAATAGAATATTTGTATCCTAAAAGTTTGTGAGCTTCCTGAGGAATAAAAGTGTTTAAAGGATCGAGAGCCGCCCTCCGGAAAAGTTCTAGCCTGGGTTGTGTAGCAGGTACTTGAAAGTGATATGGGCGTCCGGTTCCGTCTTTCTTGCGTCTGTATTGACTTCACACACCCGCTTGCTTCAGAGGTACAGAGGAGAGAACGGTTCTCAGCATTACAGCTATGTAACTTAGAAATTTAGATCGATGAAAATCAGGGCGCTTGCTGCAAATGTGGCCTATCTTTCACTTCCGTTCTTGCTTTTTGTTTTGTAAATTTTAAGACCTGATTCGCCGAAGAAGGGTTTCTGACCAAAGCCTTTAAACAAGTACAAATCTTTAAAGTGAGCGGTTACATATTGGCATCAAATGGGATTTTCCTTCAATTGTTAGTTTACTACATTCTCGTAACCTGTTAGATATCAATCGCTTTTAGAACGTTTATGAAACCGAAATGCCGGAATATATATTTTTGTTCGATTCTTTGAAAGTTATTCATCAAAGTGTGAATCTTTCAAAGCAAAAGCTTGCCGTGTACTAAGTTTTATCAGGAGCGCTAATCAGCGGACACTTTATCTTTATTTCTTCGACTCCTTGTTAGCAGTTTTGAATTCTACTTCTAAGAGAAAGTCATTTGCCATGGCCTCCCTTCTTGGTGTTCGTGGGGTGAAAAGGAATGTCGAGAGATTAGGTTGATGTAAGTGAAAGGGAACTCTATAAATATGGCTTACAAAACTTGTATGTTGCCGGTGAGTGACAGCTACTTTTACTCGTGTTTTAGTTTTGGGCACCTGGTGGAATCAGGGTCTAGCTATCAACCACAACTACATACTTTCACAGTCATCTGACTTTTCACTGAAATCGCTTGCTTATTCCCTTTTTCAGGCATGGGCCGAAGATGATTTACGTTCCTGGCGCTGTTCCCAGCATGTCACAGGAGCTCCGAAGGTATATGGCTTTGAAGCGCACCACTGAGGAAACGCTTTCAGAACTCGAGGTTTTAAAAATCCATTACCAAGAGGCCGTGAGCGAGCTACATTACTTGCCTGAAATCCAGCTTCTAGAGCTTATGTCTAAAGCCTTGCGTGACAACTCTAGTCAACCGGAGATCCTGGAACCATTTCATTCTCTGTGTTTCAGCCTATTCAAGGCGGCTAACATAGAGATCCCCAGTGAGTTAAGGGTTGCGAATGACCCCAAGGAAGAAACCGATGAGCCACATCATAACAGACAGAAGCGATCCTGTCGCAGCTTGGAGAATGACCCAAATAATGATAAGTGGTTAGGAATGTGTGGCAGAGCAAGCAGCTGTTGGAGCTGGGTGTGCAATGATTGCTGTTTCCACACTGGATGCTGCCAGCATGATTTATGCTGTAGACATAATTTCTGGAGTTCGTATTGTCTCGCGCCAATTTTCTACGGATTCAGTTGCGATGATTTTGGGGGACACCCTGACTGTCTAGCTGGATTAGAAATAGGTGAAACCGACGAAAAGAAAGAGCTCATAGCTAATTGCACAGCCAGGGCCTTTTGAAGCAGAAGGACCAAAGAACATTGTGCAACATTTCAATTGCTTAACAATTGCCTTGTTTAAGATTTTAATTTAAGTAAGAAGTTTTCCCGAGGATGATAAGAGTCGAGGATGCATTTCATCTATGTTTTGGGTTTAAGCTAATGTGCATGCATAATACCTCCAATCCCAGTCCCCTTGATAAAAGACCCCCCGATCAATGCAAGCAAAAAGAAAGCGGGATCGTGGGAAATTTTTCAGCCAGTGACTTTTGAAGTAAAAAGACCAACAAAAAATTTCCTTTATTTTTTACAATTGCTTTTAGCAAGTCCGGCTGCAACACAGGCTACCGTCTTATCACTGCCTGATAAAAACTGAAATCTTTCTCAATAAGTAGCCAATCGTTTCGACGTTCTTGTATATTAAACCGAATGCTGATTTCGAGCATGAATGTTTGCTAGGAATTAAGCTCCATGTTTTAAGCTAATTTTTTTAAAAGGATAAAAGGCCTCGTTTCTCGTTTGTCTCAGCCCTTTTCCTTGAAATACCTATAGCCAAGATTTCATTGAATCAATCACTCGAGGAATTCATTGGTTCAATAATTGTTAAAATTTGTGAATTTTGGTATGATTTTCAATTGTTTTTAATGAAAAAATTAGGAGGGAATGTCAACCTCGTCTCCAGGGCTTTTTTCCCTGTCTTTTAACTCCCCACCTCCAAAGCCAGGGAAAAGAGCCCTGGGGACGAGTTTGAGGGAATGTCAAAAATTTTGCAAAATTGGAAAATACTGGATCTTGCATTGAGATTGTTACAATACAAATATGAAATGAATAATTAGTAGACAAAGAGCAAAATCAGTCCAACACCACAACTAGAGATGGCTAAAACCCATTAGGGGTCTGCCAGGTTTATGGGTAGTCTCGACGGTTGCCATACCGAAACCTTTTGAGAAAACATGAGAAGAGAACAAAACATCAGCTGGAGAGACCATGCCACGCTTGAGAGGATTTATGGGGTACTAATACCTCTATCTTGAGACTCAAGCAAAAGCGTCTTTAGTTTGCTGGTCTTTTTGGCAAGGGGCTGAAACTCGGGATACCAGAGCCGAAGCCGATCCAATCGGGATTCACGATGGTCAGAAATGGGTGTTTTTCCTCCCACATGGCTCATTAGAGACACATAGATGATTATGAAATATTCCGAATGAGACGAAACTTGGCAGGAACATAGTAAAAGAAAGTCCACATGTATCGATGGTAGTTTTATACTTTTGATTGACAGCATGACGTCATAAGTGACGTTGAAACATGGCGCTAAAATTTGGAATTTAATTATTTGACTTAAATAACTTTATAAATAAAATCTATAAAAAAAGGAGCTTTCTGGTGAAAACCCCACTTAAATCCGTTAAATTGTTGCCAAGTTAGAGCTTATTAAAGAATTTAATTGTTTTATGACCTTATATGGTAAAACTTTAGGGAGGTTTCCAGTCCAAGACAATAAATGGAAGTTAAAAGAAAAATAGCGGATAACACACTGGAGAAAATTTGTAGTTTTTTGAATTTGGGACTCTATAGGTATTTTCACTTGTGACGTCATCAACGCTTAAATATGACGTCAACATGGTATGAAATGACGTAACATGCAACCTGACACCCCATGTCCCAAATTTAAAAAACTACAAATTTGCTTTTATCAATTAAATTCTTTAAATTCCTTCTTTTATTGTCAGTCACAAAATAGCTTGCAACTTTGTCCCGTTTTAATGGATTTTAACGGGGTTTTCACTGGAAAGCTTCACTCTGATCACAGAACACCTCTATGCGGTTTTTCTGACGATTTTCCTAATTCTAAATTTTGGCACCAAATTTGAAAATTATTTGTGACGTCACAATGTCCATCAAGACTGTCAAACTGCCACCAAAAAATGTAGAAACTCTCAAGCAACAATCCTGCCAAGTTTCATGCCATTTGGAAAATTCTTCACGTCTCTGTGACCGGTCAGCACTCGTTAACATCCGTCGAAAGCCCCTCTTCTCTTCGGTCGGGTTTCGTAAACGTATGACGTCACTCTCGCCTCGTGGTTTCCCCTGTGACTCATGTAAGCTTCGCTTCGATCTTCCACTCTGATTTGTCTGATGATCTGATGTTTGTTTCGAGGTCTTGTCTTGCTTTTTCGATCATCCCTCGATTGATTCAACCAAGAAGATGCCACTGCATCTGTTTGGAAAGGATGTTTTAATGTTTTGCCTCGATTAAGCCTCTTAGCGTATCAATAAGGAATGGCCCCGGATCGAATGGCATTCATGACGAAATTACACGAACAAGCAAATAAAACTCAAATGAACCGCTGCTCCATTTAACAACTTTTTTAAATATTGGCGGGAATATAAAAAGTAGAAAATCATCCATGTGCGTAATACTAATGTCTGTCTCTGTCGAATAATAATGAATGCTTGCAGCAACAACAACTGTATTTGTACCCAGCTGTACCCTACATTGATTTACATGATACAAAAAAAATTAGATAAATATATAGAGAGAGTACAGGCGGTCCATAATAACCATTGAGGGCTAAAAAGATAGGGCAGCCTCACTTAGGTTATTAATAAATGATTATATTAAAGGGTCAGGTACCGCACACCACACACAGCTACACAAAACATTCACACACACAAAAAAAACGTGTAGAAAAAGAAACTCAAGACAGCAAAAGAAAGCTAAGTATACCAGTATTAAACAACGGAAAGCCATAATGTTATATTCTGTTGTATCTGCTGAAGAAGCACAAAGCTAATTGAACTGAAGATTTTGAGACTCAAAATACTGCAAAATTTTCCCTCTATAAGAACTACAAGGCAAGCAAAGGCTTTAGGAACCAGTCCTAATTTAAGTTGGAGGGAGGGGGGGTGGAGGTGAAATTGGGGGGCCTTCAATTTTTTTTGGATGGATGGAATATGGGGGGCCTTAAAATGCCAAAAGATGACCTTGGGGGGGTCTTCAAGTTTCTTTTAAGTAGCATCCCTACTGAGCAGCATGATGTTTGAGTATGAAAGGACCTGATTTTGATTCAGTTTTACACAAAGCCCTATATTGTGTAATACTAAAACAATTTAATCAGCATTTTCACAAAAAGATTTAATGCTCAAATAGTAGGTGCATCAACACAACATCCATTATTGTGTAACACTGAAACAATTTCATCAGCATTTTAACAAATGATTACATGCATAAAGTCAATTGTTATGCAATCTCACTATCCGAATCATTATTTGTAGATGAGGTTGATGTGGACTCACTGTCTGTGTCACCTTCAAGTTTTTTGCTATTAGAGCATGTACTGCTCATATAAAAAGCAGTAAGCTTTGGCTGATTATCTTCTTTCTTCCTTGAAGCGGTCCTGTCGGCCTCTCACCTTTCGATGGCTTGTCTTATCTCAATTATAACACATCACTATCACTGATATATCCTTGCTCTATAAGTTATTTGAGAGGCTCTAGGTGAAATCTCTTTCTCAGTTTAGTGTGAAGTGCTTCTCTGTTGTTAGTTGGCACATTCGGAAGTAACAGTGAGTAAGAACGGTAAAGTAGAGAAAATGTCATTTGTTATTACCTGAGATAAGGGGGGCGCCCAGGCCTCCCAGGCTCCTCCCCTAAATCTGCCACTATTATACACAAAGTGGGCCGTTGACCATAGCCCAACTCCAATTTCCCAAAATGTCATTTGCTTAGTTTGTTGGCACATTAAAGCAAACCTCTTTGAGATCTTATAACAGTGTCCATAGAATCCGCAATCGACAGTTGGCCGGGTATGCATAAGTAGGCAGTTGTTCAAACAAGGCTAAAACAATACTGCTTCATGGTGCTTTTTGAGTCGTCGGAGGGTAGAAAACGTGCGCCCTGGACACTACAACTGATGTTCAATAAAATCTGAACATTTCCACTTGACCAATTTTGGGTTGAGAAACATGGCTGCGGTGGTGGTTATAGGAAAGAGGGGTGGGGGCAAGCCCCCCCTTCCCTTGCTATTTACATTAAAGCCAATTCGCTTTCAAGCAAACAGCTATGACTGTGGCTGAGTTTGTCTGCATGGTAAGCATGTTTTGCATAGTATTGCCACAATTTGTAATAGCAATGACTATATTTTACAGTGAAACCTCTATTAAGTGGACCCCAATTAAGCGGACACCCTGTCCCAAGCAGACACTAAGTCGGGTTCTGAAACAGAGGTCTGATATTTCCCTTTATAACAAACCCCTATTCAGCGGACACCTCTAACTTCTATTGTTAAAAACTTCTATTAAGCAGACACCGGACTGAATTGACAATAGTAGTGTTGGATTACGTCCTTGAAATACGTACTGAAGTCAGTTAATGTTTTTGCATTTACAAACAAATTAAAGTTGGTAATGAAAGGTAATGAACTTGAACTCTTGATAGCTTCTTTAACAACACGCAACTTTTTCACAGTACAGAGTAACTGTTAAATGTTGATCGTTAACAAACATTGTGCAATTTTTAAAACCTCTATTAATCGGACACCCTCTATTAAGCAGACACTTGGGAAGGTCCCGAAGGTGCCCACTTAATACAGGTTTCACTGTCATTGATACAATAATTATGTAATAGAAATGATGAAAATTATTATATTATTTACATTGTTAGACAAAGAAATATTTTTAAACTTTCAGTATTCTGAACATCACTCATGTTCTTAAACTACTGACTTGTAAATGGTAACATTAACTTGTATGACATTTAGTTTGCACAGAACTTGAGCAGGGGGAAAAATCCCATTTTCCATCAGATACTGTACAGAACCTCTGTTAACTGACACCTCCTTTAAGCTTACATGCTCCTCTTACTAACAGACACTAATCTGGGTTCACAGCAATTTAATTTCTACGTTCAAATGGGCAATTCCAGAAAATATCCATACCCAACCACGGACGGCTTCCATGTTTTATCCCCCCCTTGCCTTCGGAAATTCCAAAATGCGTTGCCCCCCCATGCCCTCAGAATTCC